TTATATCTATATTAGCATTTTTAATCATTTATAATACCTAGATATGTTTTAAAATGCAATTTAAAGCATTTTTGGTTTCGATCATAGTAGGCTATTTTCAAAAAAATATCGATTTTATATCTATATTAGCATTCTTTATCATTTATAATACCTAGATATGTTTTAAAATGCAATTTAAATCATTTTTGGTTTCAATCATAGCAGGCTATTTTCAAAAAAATATCGATTTTATATCTATATTAGCATTTTTAATCATTTATAATACCTAGATATGTTTTAAAATGCAATTTAAAGCATTTTTGGTTTCGATCATAGTAGGCTATTTTCAAAAAAATATCGATTTTATATCTATATTTGCATTCTTTATCATTTATAATACCTAGATATGTTTTAAAATGCTGAAAAAACTGCATGTGATGTTTGCAACTTTTCAATGTCTGTGAAAGGATCTGTAAACATGTTATAGATGTGATATTTTATAAGATCTTTTACCTTAAAATTTTGCGACGAAACACATAGTTCTATAAGGTAATATTCCTATTTGGCAACTTTTATGTTATCTAACGTAAGTCAAGCGTGGCAAGTTCGTGGCTTTCTACGTAAGTCTTTTTTTCAAACGTTTAAATTATATAAAATCAACTGCGTCCAAATTGAAAAAAAAAACGCATTTAACAGATACAAAATAAGTGTGAATAAGTGTGTGTGAAGCTGGCGGGAACAGGTTCTCAGATCAAGTTGAAACGTTGTCAGAATTACGTCCATATTACGTCCATTTACGTCCCGTAATTAAATATTTTCATCCTACTTCCTATGACTGGATATACCACTTTCAATATTTGGGTATCTTTCCCGCCAACTTCACTTTTTCAGCGGGAACCAATTACGAAATTAATTTTAATTATACATATTATACATCATAACTGATCTCCTAATTACGTCCAATTTTTGTCCCGTAAAAATTTTTGGAATCGGATATAACCAGTAAGAGTTATGGACTGTCAAAGTTTTGGACAGTACCACTTGTGGACCAATATTTTTTTTAACCAAAAACCTATCATGTTATATATCAAAACACGTCTCCTTTTCCTCAGCGGTTTAGTTCTGATGGAATTATTTAAGTCCAATTCATTTTGGACCTATGGCAGTTCCATCTCGTACCTGAACATTACCAAATGTCCAAAAATTGACTAGTGGCATGTTGTATATCTAAAAATATCTATTTTTTGTCAGTGTTTCTAATCTGACGGAATTATCTTAGTCCAACCTATGGCAGTTCCAGTTTATTCAAACCTATACCTGCACATATCGAAAGTTTTACTTTTGCCTGTCTAATCAGGGTGGGGAGATTTTTTGCGATTTAAATCAAAATCTCAGAGTTTATTTTTGATTTTGATTTTAATCTCAATAAAAAATTATTTTAAAAGGGGATTTTGATTTTTTTCCTTTTTTCAAAAGGATTTTTTTTTTGAGATTTTGATTTAAATCATTTTTGTTTGGGTTTTTTTGGGATTTGATTTAAATCTCTTGTATGAAAGATTTTATTGGGATTTTAAAATCCCGCCATATAAACTTTTTGTATGCCTAGTTCCTTTAAATCCACAAAAAAAAATTTTGATGCTTTTTCATCAAGGAATCAATTCTTGAAGTCAATTTTTTTTGCAGAACTGACCGGTTCCTTTTGTCCCTGATGATTAAATATGATTGAAAATCATGCTTTATACTTTTATGATTAGATAAACATAATTTCAGAAATTGCATTGAGAAAGAAATAAGTTATTAAGCTTATGCAAGACATAACAACGTTGAATGCGTCCAAATATAGAATATTTTCCTAAAGAGCTTTGCCACAAATTGCGTAAATTTAAATATTGCGAAAAGGAGAATTCAATGAAAATTCGGAAATGACTTTTTTTCTGAATAATAAGGTTTTGACCTTAATAACAGGACTGAAAAAGAAAATGAGAAACTTTATGTTATAAATAACACCTCGTGCAATAATGTAAACGATGAAATTAGAAAGAATTGAGGTAAATGCCTACGGAGGTGATAAAACAACAATAATACCATGGAACGGAGAAAAAGAACCAAAATGAGGACTAGTGGAGCGTAATAGAATAAAATAAAAAAAAACAACATGATCAGGAGAAAAAAATAAATATTTTTGTCACAATTTTATCAATCAACCCTGAATGATTTTACGATATCAAAATGACGACAAGAAAAGAAGTAAATAAGTCATCACATAGTGTATTACTGTATTGTTTGATGGATGTTGGAAGCTGATTCACACTTTTTGCTCTATAGCTACTGAAATAAATTCAATAAAGGCTAATCATTAATACAGTGTAATGCTTTTGTTTATTTTTGTTGTTATCTTATTTCACTCAATAGCTTTTGTTTGTCAATCTTTAATGTAAAGTTATGGGTCTTGCCATTAAATTCTTCATATATTATGTTCATTAACTTCTTAAAAATTCTTATCGTGGTTTTTTGTAAAATGAATAAATTTGTCATTTCCCACATGATTCTTAAAGAATTTTTTTTAACCTTTATCGCATACTCATAGCTGTTTTCTATTCATACTCAAAGCATACAGAGAGAAAATATCTTTTTTGAAATCACAAGTCAAGGATCACTTAAATTGCTGTTAAATCTTTTAACAATGATATCTTAAAATTGGCTTGCCTGTGTTTTCTTATTCAAAGAGCAATCAACAAAGTATTACATACACAGTAGTATTATATAAAAATAGGAAAATCATTCTTGAAAGACCTTTATTCAATATTTGAGAAGACTATTACCAAAACCTCATTGAAAAGGGATTGTCACAGAAAAAATGAAAGAGGCTCTTTGGGGCCGTTCAATTGTGACGTCTGAAATTAATGGTCATTTTTCAAAAACGAATAATGGATTTCCAGGTATTTCTATTGTTCTTTTCTGTCGAACCCCCCCCCCTGGACGTCATAAGTGAACGACCCCTTTTCAAACTAAATTGCGATAGAGTGTAATGAGAAAAATAGAAAGGATAAAATCGATTTCCTTAATCTAAAATCATCAATTTTTCATCACCTCTGTGCGTATCATCATGATTGCAAATACTTTTCCTAATGTAACAAACAATCTACCAAATTATCAAGGAGCTTTAATGTAATTTATAAATTTGTTACTTAAAAAGTTTAAATATATTTTGCGTAGTTTCGTGAAAATTATTGTTACAGCGAACAAAACTGTATACTGCTGTATACTTTTAAAATAAATATCCTGATTGAAGATCCAAAGAAAACTCAGTGAATATTTATTATAGCATTGAAAAATCCATCATAAAAATCCTCAAGTTTAATACATTTCGTCATCATCATTATTCCATTCAATGCTCAATAAAAAGCATTAATAAAAATGAAAATGAATGAAACTCTATTTTCCAAAACGATAAATTGACAGATGACTTTTTCTCTCTTACCTTTATATTTTTAAAGCATTATATAATCATTAAAATTTTACAGTTCATGTTATATGATACTTATAAAAAAAAGTTTTGAATTCTTCTTCTGTCCCGCTATATAAATTAAACATCCTGTTGATGTAAAATTATTTCAAAAAGTTTCGTCTATAATCTGATTTGTCAACATTATTATATTTTTTTTCACTTCAAAGTTTGGGTTTATTTTATCTTTTGAGATCAAAAATATTTTCATTAACATAATATTTTATAGAGAAGTTAGCATCTGGATGACTTCCTTACGGCATCTTGCGCACACGAATTGTGACTAGGTACATTGCAGGGTACATCAGGTCTTATGACGTACTCGTGTCTATGCAATGTGCAGAGCTTGCAAGTGGTTCGGATCCCACTATAAACTGTAGGTCTAAAGGGTGCGGTAGAATAGATTCTGTTCTAATTTGAATCGCAGTGCCTCCAGCTGAAAGGCTGGGCCCTTCACAAACATTATTATTAATACCCATGATACGCAAGAAAAAACATGAAGCCTTCATATAAAGTACTTTTTATAATTTTTTATTTTTTTAATCATTGAAAACAGTCAATAGTCCACTACTATTCTGGAGACTGAGAACTAAGTTCTTTTAGGTCCTGATTAAAAGCTCAAAATTCAGCCTTAAACCTAATTAAAAATTAATACATTTGAGTTTTGAACTTTTTACTTTAGATAAGGGTAATTCCATGCTATAATTTTGCTATAAAATTTTCTTTAAATTGATTTTTTTCATCCTTAGGCTTTACAAAAGTTAATAAGATTTCCACAGGACATGTAAAAAGTCATATGGTATATGATTTGACATTAATTTTCTATCTAAAGTGGTTAATTCGTCCAAAAAATTATATTTTATAGCGTTACTTGGTAACATTTATAGCGTTACCAAGTAACGCTCATGGAATCAATTTTTTGGACGAATTAACCACTTTAGATAGAAAATTAATGTCAAATCATATACCATATGACTTTTTACATGCACTGTGAAAATCTTATTAACTTTTGTAAAGCCTAAATATGAAAAAAATCAATTTTAAGTAAATTTTTTACAAAAATTTCTCATGGAATTACCCATAAACATTTTCATTAATTATTTCTTTTGTACATCCATTTAAACAATTATCATATTCTTTTTATTAACAAATAAATTGCTTAAATCCCAATAAGAACAATTTAAAAAAAAAAATGAATGTCAATTATCATAAAACCAATCAAATGTTTGAAGAAAAAAAATTCTAGATTGGTGTTTTTAAGCAGTGTATGTCGAAGCACATACAACATGCTGAAAAGCACAGACATCAGTCATGAATAAATAACTTTGTGTGATAACAGAGGAGTAGAAAAAAATGAGAGGGAAAGAGAGAGACATTCTGAGGGTTAAGTTAAAATTGTATGGAATAAGTTAAACACAAATACATTAACTTATAAATGAATATTTTTAAATTCTTATCAATAATTTTTTTATGCAAAACTCTTATGTGTATACAGCTTCATTTCCATTTTGATCGTCAAGTTGTTTAGTTTTGAATATTATTATTAGGATAAAAAAAATCAAGATGAGTTTTTTATTAAAATTTTGTGTTATTTTCTTTATTTTATCCTTTTGTAATTGTGGTAAGTTTATATAAATGTTTTGTAATTATTTAAATCACATTTTTCAAACTTTGAAGCCACTAAAACACGTCAACGAAATCGACAGAGTGGATCAAATAGTGGAGATAGAGCTCGCAGAACGCGAACATGTAGTCCACCAAAACTATTGAATGGCATTGTTACCCCACTCTATAAAGGAAAAATGATGCGTTTTGATTGCAATAAAGGATATTATCGATTAGGTGAACGATACTCGGAATGTACTAATGGACGTTGGTCCCTTTACTCTTTTCCCATCTGCATAAGTATGTTTCTAGTGCACTAAAAATTAATGTTAAGTGACAAAAAATATTTCAATTTTTTCTAACGTTGCATGAATACATAGAGAGCGGATGTCCAACAATGTCTAGAGTAGATAATGGCAAAATAACATATATGAATGCGAAAGCATCGGCAATGCTATTTTGTGAACCGAATTTTGAAATTGTCGGAAGTAATTTTGCTCATTGCAATGGAACAAATTGGGATCGAGTCATCGGAACGTGCAAGGAAACAGATAATCTGCCACCGACATCGTGTGATTTTGAAAGTAAAAATAATTTTTTTTGCTTAGTCTAGCGGAATTTACGCTATTTTTCTATTTAAATTTTATTTGAAGGTGAAAGCATTTGTGGATGGGAACATGACATATCCCATGATTTAGATTTCGAACGTCGAAATGGTTATAACAATAAAACAATATCAATTCTTACCGGGCCATCAGTGGATCATACAATAGGAATGCCATTTCAAGGACACTATATGGTCATAAATACGAACACGGAAGTATTTACCAAGAAAGCTCGTCTTGTATCGCCATTGTATCGTTTAAATGCAGAAAAGCTGTGCTTCCAACTATACTATTACATGTATGGAATTAGTGTTGGAACATTAAAAGTTTATGCTAAACCCGAAAGCGTGGATTTGCAAGATGTCCTGATTGAGGATATGGAAACAGAAGCAAAAAATGATTATGTCATATTTGAGATAAAAGGTTAGAAAAAAATCTCTCTTTTTTCATTTTCCATTTCAATTACTTTTTTATTATCAACGTGTATAAAATAATATGGAAAAAGAGTTGATATGTGTATATTTATGTGTCTTATGCAGATTCTCAAGGGAACTCGTGGCATAAAGGAAGTGGAATGATAAAAAATTTCAACGAGAGCTTCCAGGTATGTTAAAGGCAATCAAGTTTGAGTATTTTTATCTTCCCTTTATTTTTTTTCTGAAATAAAGGAATGGAGGAAGCATGCGATGAAATAAATTCAATTTCTTTATTTTCTTCCCCTTTTTATCTCTATATCTCCCATCAAATAATATTTTATCTCGTCTACACACAAATAATGCTTCAATCGTATCAAAATGCAGATTATTATTGAAGCTATCAGCGGACAAACTCGTTTATCAGATATTGCAATTGATGATGTATCAATACTAACAGATGAAGATTGTGATGAAGTCACAATTGATGGTGAAGATAATGAAACAGATGCAAAGGAAAGTGACACAAAAGATGATAGCGAGGATAATGGCGATGGCATATTTTCAATAGATTCATGTGTCAATCGATGCTTCGAAGATTCCAATTCAACAGTGCATTTAAATGCAAATAGAAGCTTAAGCTGCAGTTGCTCGCGTGATTGCAATCCAAAAGCAACATGCTGTCCTGATTTTTTGGGTAAATAATAGCTTGATTATTTGGGTGTTAAGCATACTCTATTGATATGTTTGCACTTTATCATATGCATTGCAAAATATTTGAATATATTGAGTACCAAATATTTATTGGAAAACCATAATACATGATAAGTAGCATTTTGTCTCTGAAGTGTAAATATAAAAAAAAAATCTTAAAGGAGCTCTTTGTGAGATTTTATTTTATTTGAAGCTACCCAAATTTAATACATCAGAATACGATAAAAAAAAATTGTAGATAAAATTCCCATATGGTCATAAATGTGTTGTTATTATTATCACTTGTAGATGTTTGCATAAAAGATGATTCATCGTTGGGAGAAACGACACCGGAAACTACGGTTAATGCTACATCAACAACAGTATTTATAAATAGAATAATCAGCACTATAACTTCACCGAAATCCAATACCACAAGTTCGTCATCGACCATTGAATCAACTCGAATTTCCCTCTCGTCGACTACTACTTCTTCTTCTCCTACTACTTCCGTTACCACAACATCCACAAAACCAATGAGCACGACATTGAAACCTACAATTTCATCATCAACATTTAAATCAACGACTTTAATGCCTCCAACAATGACATTCAGAACAACACAGAAATCTTCTTCAACATCAAAGGCTTTCTCCATTCCACAAATTCCACAACAATCTAATGACACAGTGGAGAATGAAAATGATGAAATGCAAAGCAGAACAGTAAAAACTGACTTTGAAGAGGTCTTACAGAATACAAATGATGAAATAGAGGACGAACATGAAATGATGCCTGACGAAGAGGAAATAATTATGCCAACATCTGAAAAAATGCATGCAGTAAAAACGAACGTAAATCTATCATTTATCATCACCACAGTTATAATTGCTGTATCAAGTACAGTCCTCGGCAGTATTGCAATTTTTATTGGAATTAAGCAGTATAAAAAATCTACAAACCCACTGAACTACAAAGAAAAAAGTGAAAATGGAACGAAACGAGCAGATGAAGAGTTTAGCGAAATACGATATTTGACATCCGATGAAGAAGCATTGGATTTTACGCTCGCATCTCCCACCAGTGTTACTGATTTATGAGAACAGGGTGAAACAGTAAAAAATCTCCTAAGCTTCATATTTCTTCATCCAAATTGATTAATGAAATGTTTATCATACCTTTTTCTAAATTTACTTTCGACACAAAGCTTCTTCAGATCATTTTTCATAGACTCAAAAAAGTAACAGGCATATTCATAAAGTTAAAAGAAATTGTTTTGATATTTGAATACAGAAATAATTTAAAATTAATAGAAATTATTTTACTTTCAAATTTTAGCAAAATTCGCCAAACTTAATTTTTTTTAAATGCTTGAACATAATAGCTGTATGCATATTTGCGGTTCTTATTTTTATTTTATTTATTTTTCTTAGAAACACAATTCGATTGTGTCAACAATGATTATCACTTGCTATTTGTGACAAATTATGTTTTTATGTCTCCTTTCGATTTTTATCCGAAAATATATTTTTTTTCCTTCCTCTTACCATTATTTATGTCATCGCTATATATCGCATATGCTGGTATACAAAAATATATATTTATAAGATAGCATAAGACGAATTCACATATTTACATTTTATGATTCGCCTTAGGATTGGTTAAAAGGGAAAGATAAAACAGAACAGATTTTCTATCAGCTCTATTCTCATAAATATACATATGGGGCCGTTCACTTATGACGTCCGACATTTAGGGGGGGGGGGGGGGGTCAAGGATTTTGTGACACTTCAAACAATGGAAATTTTTTCTATAGAATTTTTGTGACAGATGGGGGGGGGGGGGTCTAAAAAACAGGTTTTTTGATGGACGTCATAAGTGAACGCCCCTATACGATTCATCTAGAAAAAGGGCGAAAATTCATGAATTTTTCATATTCATATTAAGTTTTTTTAACATAAAAAATTTTCAGTGCTTTAATCGCCGTGTGCTTCTTTGTATGCTGCACAAGTCGTATAAGCCATTGTATTTTTAGTTCTCTATCATAATTCTCCGCTTTTATAGCTTGTTGCTCTTGTTTGGGAATATAGGTTTTAATATTTATCATACAATATTCAAATAATTAATCTTATTCATCCCTCCACACTTTTTGCCAAATAAGCATTACAAAACCATTTGAATCAAGTGCAGAAAAACTCATAAAAAGTTTTTAACTATGAGAATCTTTCAAACAATTGTATGCAAAGTGTTTAAGCTCTTGTGATTCTTTATGCTATTTTATTCCACTATCAAGTTTAAATATTTATGGTTAGTGATTGATAGTCATCTACATGCTCTATTTACACATTCAATAAAAAATTTATTAAAAATTTGAATGAATGAAAAAAAAAATAAATTGAGGAAGTGAAAAATTACCTTTGCTTCTGTGCTGCTATGCATCATTTCAATTTACTTGATGATTTTGTTGAATTTTTAACTGAACGGAAGGGAAGAATTTTCGCAAACGAAGAAAAATATCCGCAAAAAAGATATTTCTTCTACAATATCTTTCAGTATCTAAAGGTTGATAAATCAGAGTATGAAATTGCTACATTTTCTCATTCCCTTCTCTTTATTCGTTGCATGCATACACAATTTTCTCATATTGTTAGCGTACTAGCTTTATCTTTTGTAATGCTAGATGAATTGAAAGAGATTGGAAATGATATTGAAAAAATTTATTTTCCATACTCAAATAAGTTGATAGTTCAGAAGCATTGAATGTATTAGCCCTGTTTTTAGCAAATTTATGAAACACGATGTTCTTTCAAAATGGTTTTCTTGGACATGTGAACGTTTTTGTAATGAAATAAGTGATTACTGAGCTGTCTGTTGGAATCACAATACGAAAAACTCATTATACACACATCTAGAAAGTGTTTTAGATATTAAACATTACATTTAGTATGAACAATCTCAATTGAAACGCATTACTTACTCATTCTTGCTAAATCATGTACATTATAATAAAATATGAACTGAAATGGCAGGAAGCTAATCAAAATCTAACACTAAACTGCCATAAATTTTCTCCTACTTACTCTTATTATTTAATTTCCTACCATGAATCATAAAATTGCGGTACATTTAATAAATGAATATCGAAAAGAATGGCGCACGAACCCAACAAAAACCCTTTATAGAAGTGAAGCTTAAATAATGGATTTGATATTAAAACAAAAGAAATAAAATGGAACGAGAAAGAGCAAGCTGGGAAAAGGACCAATATAAAACACATGCTGTAACACTAAGAATCCTATAGATGGAATTTTTCTTTGTTTTTCATTATATTTGTATCATCCATCGAGTTCCTTCAACACATTGTTGCTCTATTCAGCATTACACGTTTGTCGCATCATTAGCGTGATACGAATAATTAAAATGTGGATATATGAGGTGCACATCTAAGCTTGAAGTGTAATAAGGGTTTTGCTATTGTTATGTAAATAATACTAGTGCATGCACATTACATTTCATGCTTGGTTCGTGCATTGAATTGTTTTATAAAGTTAAATTTTCCTTTTGAAACTATTATATCACTTCCTCATTTCTTAGCTTTAAAAGTATTGTATTTTTTTATTGAGATAATTGCATGCATCTAGATTAATTTTAAGAAATAAATATTTCAAATTATTAAAAAGTTTCCAGTTTGAGAAAAACGACGAGATTTTCAGTACTTATTTTAATTCATTTTAATTATAACAAATTACCCACTTAATGAAGAAAACTTGCATATTTTTTAATAACGTACTCACTGCTTTTCTTGCTCCTTTTATTCATCTTGTGTTCTTCATTTCATACTTTTTCATAATTAACTTCATATCATGATAATTCACGCCAAGATTTTTAATTAATATGAAAGCTCGCGTTTTGCATGTTTTTTTACTGAGGAAAATAAATCAATTGTTTAAGAGTAACCTTTCATGTTCTTCGTGTCAATTAGCATTAAAAAAGAGTAATTTTTTGAAAATCTGAAAAGAACCTCTGTCTCAACTTTTAATTAAAAGTAATCAAAAATTGCAACCAAACTGTAAAGGCATAGAAATGTGGACAGTTCTGCAATAAAAACACTACGTTTGGAAAAAGAAAAGCATGAAGTGTTGCTTATTGTTTATTAGTAAAAGTAGTGTCGTGAAACCAAAATATTTATTTTATTCACGATTTAACATATAACAAAATCATGGTACATTATTCAATTTCAATCATTGAGCTGTTAAAAAGGACAACAATGGCAACCTATATCGTGATTGCATCCTAATTCATCGGTATTGACATTATTATTAGCAATTGCGGCTGCGATTTGTGTATAATCCAATTCAAGTGTTGCTCGGGTCCAATATAATAGATTGTTTGCGAAATTCTGAGGTGGAATCTGAAAGATTTATAAATTCAAAATTAAAATTGAAAGTGTTATTAAATACCGCCTCGTAATTAAAAATTCAATCCATCAGATTAGCAGTTAAGTGCCTTGCTGGTCGAATAGGTAAGGCGTTTGGCTCAAATTTGGTATGGTAACTCGAAGGTCGTCGGTTCGAATCCAGCCATTTCCAAATTTGTTCTTTTTCAGAAGTTTAGATACTTCGACTGCTTAATGTACGAGATCAAGCCATAATTGGGCATTTTGGGCAACGTTGGATTAAGGAACGGATCAGGAACTTGAAGTGTAGTGGGAGAAAAAGGAACGAGAGCTACAAGATTACCTTATAATGGAATATTGTCAGAACGGATCTGTAATGTATCACGTCACGCCTACAGAAGATTGAAACGAGAGCCTTAGTTTATTTGAAATTTAGATATGAAGATTAGAAGCTTGATTCTACGTCACCCATAGTTATATGAAATGTATCACTAATCAATTTAAAAAGTAAAACATGTATAAATACTAATTCATCCGGACGGTAACGTCGACAAATAAATAATAATAATAAAATAATAATAATTTTAATTTTCCTTTATAAATCCATATAAACATATTTATCCTTAGTGATGTGTTGTGCATAGAATAACTTTAATAATTTCTAATTGTATTGTGTATTCATTTCTGAAATTCTATTGTTCATTAACGTCTTATAAAATGAATTTACGGCAGACTTAAATAGAGAGAGTTTCATCGTTTAATGGAATTTTTATAAAAAAAATTTAATTTTCATAACAATTAAAGTTTGTCTTCGTCTGGATATATTCTTTTGAATGTTTTAGTCATTTTCTTTCTTTAAGTGAATAAGTTGACAAGTTCATATATGAGCGACACAAAGGTTCCGCGTGGCTTTCAAATGAGGGCTCTTTCCTTCACTCTCCATTTAAAAATCTTCCGAAAACCTTACTATTATAGAACCTTGTCGGAGCCAAAGCTCTGAAAATCCTCCGTCAGACTTGACATTTTTCATACAAATTTAATATATTTGCCATAACTTTTGCATCTTTTGTTTTATTGAGCTGAATACTGGCAAGTAGACACAATGGCTGCTCCTGAATATGGAAACGACACCATTTTGGATTTCAAGGGTTGGAAACCTTTGTAAAAGTTGATTTCGCTTTAAAGCGTTTTGGGCGTTTTTTACCACGTTTTTCTTAACTTGCTTTCTTGTTTGTTTGTTTGCAAAAAATTTCAAATCTTGCGATCGATTTTTCGACTACTTCTACTGCTCCAATCGAGCTGAAATTTTGCATGCACTTATCTTTCCGATGACAAAACAATATTCAAGCATTTGTGGAGCTTAGAAATGCTTAATTATAGTAAAAACATTTAAATTATGAAAATAATTCAATGTCAATGACAGGCAATTTTAATGAATTTTCACATTAATTAATAACACCTTTATGAAACTGAATGAAGATTAAATTTAAGCTTTCCAAATATACAATATTAATCAATGCGCCCACGTTTTAAGATGTAGAACGATATGGTCAAAGTGAACAAATTTGCAATTCATGTATGGTCATGACTTTAGTATGAAACTTTCAAATCAATCTCAAATTTTCAAACCAATATCCTTTGAACCCAATAAAAAAGTTATTTTCTACTTTTTAGTCCACGGGTAAAAACGTGGTTTTTTAAAAAGTTTTTTTTTATAAAATATTTATTTCAAATATTTTTTGACCGTTATTTTTCAAATAGTTTAAGTTTTTGGATTTTATTTTCTACTCGAATTCTGTGCGGGGAAAATGCGCTTCGGTCGATCACGCTTGATCACCTCTTTACTAGTTTAAAGCTTGAAATGAGACAATATTGATCAATAAAGCTATTTAACAATATTTCAATCCACTACATCTAGACTTAGACCTTTGTCTTTTTAAAATTGGAACGCACGAATGTTTCGGAATTTCATTCAAAAATAGCGGAATTCATATGGAAAGCAAATGGAAGCTTTATGGAGTATGAGAAATGAACCCTCCATTTACTCTCCTCATAGTTGAGGCAGTTTCCAAATGGATTTCATATGGAGACCTTCCTCCACCTTGTGTCACTCGGAATAGTAGTTTAATTGATATTTTTCTTCTGTTTTAGAGTTAGTAAATAAATTTGATGAATTTACACAACATATATTAACGGTTTTTCATAACGTTGAGAATATGACAAGTTTTATGCTCGTGGATTTGATACATTTTACATAGCATAAAAAAATTATCAACAATATAAGTGTCGATTAAATAGGACTTATTTTTGATTTTATTTTAACCTTCTTGAACTTTTTCATCTTTGCTTAGTGTCAAAAAGATTAAATTTCACAATAACAAATTTAAACTCTCATACATGAGAGTTCTCTCATTTATTGTGTTAAAAATTGTATTTATCAAAATTGTGAAATCATATGAAAGATGCTGTGGAAATAGATATTTTAAGCAAAGGAGGATGGAAAAAAGTTCAACATAAAGCTTGTGTATTATTGCGACATAATCACGTACCATTAAAATTCTTATGCTATATCGTAATATTCATAGATTAAACTACTAAAGATATGAAAACTAAGGAATTACAAAGAACTCAAGTAATTTTATGTATTCAACTCCATAAACGCTATTAAATATGTAAAATTCTATCGTTCAAAAAAGCACTTGTTACACGTCTCTAAAGAACTTTTCATTTAAAAGACAACGACTTTAGAATCGCACTAAGTTTTTATTTTATATGCTTATATGTGTTAAATATCGTCGAAACTTGATAAAATGAAAATGTTTCCACTGTCAACTAATTTTGTATGTAAGATTTAGCAACATATTATTTCTACAAAATCTTATCAGAAATTTCACCCCAAGAATTTTTAAGGAACAATGTCAATGTGTGCATATAAACATTTATTTTCACTGAAAGCTTTTTCTCTATGGCTTTCTACGCCAAACAGCATCCGCAAAAAGTTTCTTCTCACATCCTCACACTCATTTCCTATGTAAACGTTTTGAATAGCTCATTTCTTGAATAAAATGTAAATGCGTGAATGGAATTTTAAGAGCTCAATGGTATTTAGTTGAAAATTTCGCACAATCAATCATGATAATAACTAATTTTGTTTAATCAAAAATTCTCTTCCATCTGCATGTTAAGTGATTTTATGTTTCAAGTAATTTTACTACTCTTATTTTTATTCACGTCTTAATTTGTTGTTAAATTAACTTATTGTTTTGTTCGTAATACTTATTTAATTTTGTATATTTGCAAAGCATTAAATGATTAATCATTTCCAAGACTATTAAAGCAATAAAAAAAAATCTTTTAATTATATTATGATTGAGTTGATTAATTTATTTAAATGATATTTAAAGACTATGTTCTCATAAGTACATATTATGTCTTCCCATTCATTATTTACTTTAGATGTTTACGAACAAGTCAAGGTGTTAAAAATATTTTTAAAGGTCATTAAAGTCACGTTTCATGTGACGAAAATCACATCACACTTGTATTATCTTACCCCAAATTCAGCTATCGGATTAGCAACACGTGGATCAGGAGATACATAAACTTGATGTCTCTGTAGAGCATCCGTTAGGAAATGCTTCACAAGTGAATCCCGCCCTAAATGTAAATGGAGAAATGAAAAAATAAATAAATGAAAATATTTATTAGGAGTGACTCTAATCATGGCTGATAAGATAGCAATTAATCATGTGTTGAATTTTTGACGTCAAGATTTAAATCAAAGAATTTATTAAGGAGCTATCTTGAAGCAATATAACACTTAAAAACAGTTGTGGATTATAAACATTTTAATTTTTGCAACATTTCTTATAAGACATAAATTCATAATTTAATATTCGACTTTGGACATGAAAATTTTTTCTCATAAAAAACATTCTTAAAGAATCTATTCGGATTAAAATTCAAACACATAATTATGTTGATGAAAAGTCATACTCACTGCTTGAATCTACAGACAAGAAAAATTCATTTCCAGTCATTTCAATTGATTTCGCAGATGTAAATAAAATGAAGGTAGAGTATATAACCAAAACAGCGCAAGCACGTAATAAAGCCATTATTTTAAGCTTTTCTTGTTCGGTTCTATATATTTTTAATATTCTTAAAAAAGAATTTTTACTTTTTAAATAAAAATAACCAAGGAATTTTTTTTAAATGCTATTTGTTAATTGTAATATCACTGAATTTAAAATAAACCTTAAATACCTTTAAATGCTGTGTTGCATTAAAAAAAACTTTTTAATTTTTTACTGTTTTATGAAAGTTAACGTAAATATATCGAATGCTTAAAAAGAACTGAATGTCTAGTGATATATTAAAGATACTTTTGATCGACAATAAAAACCTTTTCTAAACTTTTCAATAGATAACTTAACAAACGATAGGAATTTTGATTGTATTGTAAATGGATTTTATTCAGTTTAAGAAGCTTGATTTTAATTGATTTTACCAAGTGTGCGAACTCTTATTGAAAAATATTAATAATCATTCTGTCAAAATCTTATCACTTCCGACTCAAGTTTAAAAGCCAATTAAAATTTAATTAGGTAGCACTTTATTGTATTCCGATAAATCATTTGTTTTTCTGGAAAATGCAGTATGACAATTACTCTTTTAATTTTTTTATTGAACTCAATTGACGTAAAATTAAACTGTTGCCTACTCAAAAAATAGCTTCCATATATATAAAACATATTAAACATTTATACACCCTTATAAAATAGGGTCAGTCAAAAATGGCTTCAAAAATAAATTCTTGGCAATATCGTAAAAATAATATATTCAAAAATACTCGATGAAAATCGGATTTATAATATTTTTTTTTCCTTCGTAAGGATAAGGATATCTAAAATGTGCATTGAAATAAATTGTTGCAGCATCTGGGACATTTTATTTTATTTTTTCAAAAATTTTGCACTTAATTTTTGACTTACTTCAGATAACGAAATCCATTTTTTTTCCTATACATAAAATTCATCTGCTGTAATTTTTAAAATCTCATTTTGTTTTAATATTAGGAAACAATAAATAAATTTTTGAATAAAGAAAGTGTGTCAAAATAAAAAAAAAATCTTGTGAGAAGTCTTAAGGTACTTAATATATATAAAAACTCAATAAAAATTTATGTTTAAGTAAAATAAATAACAATCATTTATTCAATTTAGAAGTTTACTTTTAGAAATTTATAACTTTTTTTTTATTGCAATACTTTGATCCCGAGATTTTCAAGCTTTATTGTTTCATAAGACGAGATGTATAGGCTTTGAATAAATTTATATATACATCATATCAAGAAAAAGGATGCAACCTATTATCAAATTTTTTAATATAAAAATGTAATGCTGTATATATATGTCCCCTTTAAATAAACAAATATTACTTAAACTTACTCTGACTCATCTTGTCATGTATGCTTAAATTGCTTAGCATGTCTGTGATAATTTCTAATAAAAATATTGAGAAAAAATTTGTGTAAACTTTATAAGATATTCTTGCTTCTGGAATAGTTCTCTACAATGTCTCAATTCAAACAAGGCTATACTAAAAGCTCATCACATTTTTAAATTTCCCATTGACTCATAGGTATAAAGTGTTAATAAGATTTTTAAATATTTTGCAATTTTTATACCGGCGTGTTCGATAATAGCAACAAACAAAAGAAATTTCGTTGTTTACATTCACGCAATTTTGTATATAGATATAGTACATATATTTCAAGAATAGGTATTTGAACTTTTCATTTTGTATTGAGGTGTTAAATTTATAGTTTTTATCAGTGATTAATCTTTAAATATAAATGTTCAACGGTTGCAGAAGGTGTTAATTTTTGAGAGTAAGTATAAAAAGATGACAGTTTTTTTCATCATCTAACAGTTCAATTTTGGAAAGGGTGAAGTTAGGACTATAGTGCAGAAAATTATAAAATAATTCAAAATGAAATTTGTAAGAATTAAATAAAAATTCAAGTTCAATTTAATTAAACGTTGATTTTAATGTATTTTCAGGTCGTTGTTTTGTCACTCGTCGTTTTTGCAGTTGCAAATCCTATTGATAACAAACCAACATCAGTGCCAAAAGCTAATCCAGTAGACAATAAACAACTTGCGATTGACCCTATTCCTTTGAACTCAGCACCTTTATCTCCTTCAGCTGTTGATTTTCATCCATTAAACAAGCGTGATTCTCCTGTTAAGCAGGCTGATTCACAAAAAAAACAGCCAACCTTAACATCTCCAGTTGTTCAAAAAATTGATAACACAAAGACTGCTGAAAACAATCGTAAAACTCGTGACACAGTTTCAAAAAATTCTCAAGCTGCTACATCAAATGCCCAGCCTCAAAAAACAGTTGATCCAGTAAAAACTCAAGCAGCAGACAACTCCAAGCTTGTTGATAACAATCGTAAAACTCGTGACACAGTCCCAAAAAATTCTCAAACTGTTACATCAAATGCTAAGCCTCAAAAAACAGTTGATCCAGTAAAAACTCAAGCAGCAGACAACACCAAGCTTGTTGATAACAATCGTAAAACTCGTGACACAGTTTCAAAAAATTCTCAAGCTGCTACATCAAATGCCCAGCCTCAAAAAACAGTTGATCCAGTAAAAACTCAAGCAGCAGACAACACCAAGCTTGTTGATAACAATCGTAAAACTCGTGACACAGTCCCAAAAAATTCTCAAACTGTTACATCAAATGCTAAGCCTCAAAAAACAGTTGATCCAGTAAAAACTCAAGCAGCAGACAACACCAAGCTTGTTGATAACAATCGTAAAACTCGTGACACAGTCCCAAAAAATTCTCAAACTGTTACATCAAATGCTAAGCCTCAAAAAAGAGTTGATCCAGTAAAAACTCAAGCAGCAGACAGCACCAAGCTTGTTGATAACAATCGTAAAACTCGTGACACAGTTCCAAAAAATTCTCAAGCTGCTACATCAAATGCCCAGCCTCAAAAAACAGTTGATCCAGTAAAAACTCAAGCAGCAGACAACACCAAGCTTATTGATAACAATCGTAAAACTCGTGACACAGTCCCAAAAAATTCTCAAACTGTTACATCAAATGCCCAGCCTCAAAAAACGGTTGATCCAGTAAAAACTCAAGCAGCAGACAACACCAAGCTTATTGATAACAATCGTAAAACTCGTGAAACTGTTAAAACTGACGAAGTAAAGAAAACATTAACAGACAGTGCACAAAAAACATCTTCAACAGTAACGAATACTCCACAAGTTGTCCGAGTGCCTTTAACAAATTCACGCTCAAGACGTGATACATCAAAGACAGCTGATCAATCAAAACAAGTCTCAACTGTTGCTACAAATGTTAAGAGTGAAGCAAAAGCCAATTCTTCTTCAACAGTCACAGTCGCTGAAACAAAACCAAAAAGAGATACACCAACCGGGAATTCACAAATTCAACAGTCGGATTATCAAGGAGCAACTGGTTTGAAAAGACCAGTTCCGGTCGATCAGATTTTAAGAAGAAAACCAGCTGCAACAACAGAATCGTAATGTATTTTTATTTTAGAAATTATTAAAATTTAATAACGTAATTTATATTTACAGACCAGCCCCAATTGCCCCAGAAAGTTCTTAATCAACTGAATGTTAAAGATTAAATAAAACGAATTCTTGGATTATTGCAGGTTTTCAATCATATCAATAAAGTAATCAAAAAAATACATTGAATTTCAATTTTATAAAATTATTTTTTTATTTTTACCTTTTCAGTTTTGAAATTTTATAGATAATAATATATATGTTTACTCATCATGCATTGTTTATGCTTAATAATGATTTTGTATTCTTGAAATTTTCTTATCATATTCTACTATTTTATTTCTTAGAATCTAGGAGTAATCGTTGCAGCTCATTTAAATGTATGCCTAAGTTTCAAAATAAACCATAATATTATTTTTGAGAGACTTTTTATGACAATAAATATCTTTGGAGACAGAAGTTAAAGCAACGAATATTTTCTTGAAGCTACAAAGTTTTTTTTTTTCATTCAACCCAATTCATTTGTTTGATTTTTGACAACGGTTAACAATGCTCCGAAAATCTTAGTTTATTCTTTAGAAAATTCATTATTATATGGTGTCGTGGCAAAGCTAAAGAAACGGCATCAATCTTTGTTTCGCGATACCTTACAACGTCGTTTAAAAAACTTGAAAAGATTGGTGATTTAAGTGTGCACTCTGAAAAGGTTTTTTTTTCACCACTAATTTTTGGTGTTGAATCATTAATGGTAAGAATTGGCAACAGTTTACTTGAGAATTCCTGTCAGTTAATCATTCACTTAGGGGCTGTTCACTTATTACGTAACGTGAAAAAATGACTTCTTAGACCCCCCCCCCCTCGTAACAAAATTTGTATGAAAAAAAAATTTCCTTGTTTGAACCGTAACAAAATCTTAGACCCCCCTTCCCCCCTAAAAGCGTTACGTAATAAGTGAATGGCCCCTTACGAACTATATTATTAAGGAGGAGTTTGAGTTTGGAGACATGAGATACCTTAAAAATAAAAACTTTTTTTAAATTAAAATGTGTACGGAAATCTTTTTTTTTTTTAAAGAAGTCATAAGCGAATGAATGCCAATTATTCTTATTTCCCAGGACTATTAAGGAAGAGCATATAACTTTTTATACATTATGGAACAAAGATTTTTCTTTGATGCTCACGACATTACCCACATGATCGTTAAAGTTTCAATAGACAACGAAAATTTCTTTTTAATTGATTTCAATAAATAATTCAATGTAGTTAAATAACTTTTGTTATTTGAAATAAATTTCTAGTCAAATTATATCTAAATGAACTGGATAAAATGTTTTCATGTATATTCACTGATAGTCTATATAATGATTATATGTAAAATTTTATATGAAATTACTTTTATTATATTTAGTAAAGACATTGAAATCTAAGAATTACACAAAAAAAGTATTTTTTTTTCATCTTACAGCATTTCAATTATATTAAAATATTTTCATTTCATCTTCCTTTTTGTCTTGATTTGTTTCCTTAATACTCAGATATGAAATAATTTTAAAATTTTTTTTATAAAAATTTTCTTGTGTATTTTATCATTCATTTTTTTTATTTTTATCATAATCAGTTGATTCTCTTTTCTCATAATAATTTTTTAAACTTATAAAGGAAGTAAAATAAATCGACTAGCATGTTTTTTTTTTGTGATAAAGGAATAATCAAGCATGAATATAAAAATATTTAGAAATGACATTCTTTCAGCCTTTCATTATTTTACATGACGAAAGGATTGAAATGAAAGTAATGTGTTAATTAAGAGCTCTCAATGTACAGTTTGAAAAAATATTGGCATAAATGATTAGTACTTGAGACAGATGAACTGTGACTAAAAGGAGACACATTTAGAATAATCATGATAATTTTTTTAAAGTCCATTCACATAAGGTATGGTCTTCATATGCTCTTTGTCAAACTATTAGTATGCTAAAAATGAACACTTTTTGTCTAGCAGTGACTCGCAACGCAAAAAAATTGGACATTTATAACAATTTATAAGTGAACGACCCTTAAACGAGATCTTAAAATAGTCACAAATTAAACATAAATTGTGTTTGTTTGATTATCGTAAAACTATGGAAATGTATGTATTATTTTGAGAGATTTTATGTCCCCCTCATTAAACATCTATCATGAATAATAAGATATTTGAGCATCAAGCTTTTTTTTTTTTATCAAACACTTATCATATCATTTCATTCATAAGCCTTTTTTTACTGCTACACATTTATTTATCTTTATTAATTTATTTGAAATGCTTAAATAACATTATCATCATCATCATCCAGAGAAGAAGAAAAAATGAGGAATTAAGTCATATTATGAAAGACATTTTTATTTAATTATATTAAAAACACAAAACTCATAATCAGTCAATACTTTGGCCTTTTGGCATGCATAATAGTTTCTATTTGATTATGCAATATAAAGCATGGGGGATATTGTAAGGTAAGGAAGTATTAATCAGTTTTTAAAATAAAATTTTGGTGAGATGTACTGGAAAGGGGCTGTTCACTTATGACGTGCAGGGAGGGGGGGGGGGGGGTCAGCAAATGAAAAATGACCGTTATTTTCGGATGTCATAAGTGAACGACCCCAAACGAAGAGATAATTAAAATAAAAGAAAATTATACAATTTTATGCAGATAGTTTTTCGGAAAGATTAGCAAGGAGTATAGACGTAAATTATTATTTCATTAGTTATTCGATATATATATATATATACTATTCGTTATGTGTAGTAAATACTCCAAAAAAAAATGGTTCAATATATTATTTTAAGGGTAATATATTATAAGTGTGTGTTTGTGTATGTATAGAAGAAGTTAGGAGAGTAGAAAAATAGAGTCAAGGATTGAAATTTTATTCGTTTGAGAGGACCACATCAAATAGCCATTGAGAAAAAACGCTTTAAATTTGCACTCTATCTGTGCAATGCATTCGAAAGCTGTTTAAGCGATTGTCCAACTTCAATTAGCAGCTTTTCATTGTCTTGAACATTTTTTTGACCAGCAGTACGTAAACAGTTTGATTGATTTTCGACTCTCGTGACCAATTCACGAAATTGAAATTTTGTATGTAATGGCAAAGTATCTGCATATGTTACACATGACGATTGAATGATATTTAGCTTATCACTTAACTGTAACCATTGTGTGGCCGTAATAAAATTAACTGGTATTTTTAAATTGCACTCAACCATTTGAACAAGTTCGAGAATATTTTCACGACTTGCAGGAGGCGATGAATTTGTCGATGACATCACATTTGTTATAACATTATGATTATTATTTTCAACTCCTTTTGTTGTATTTTGTTGGTGTTGTTGCAGTGAAGTTGGTGTTGCATAAATTGTAAATTTTGATGGTTTTACTGGTACAGCTGGTTTTTTTGCTACCGGTGGATCCATACTTGATGATTCAGACTGTCCATTATTCGATGATGGACTATTATTATTTCCGTCATCAATGAAGTCGTCCTTTTTCTTTGGATTTCCCATTTTCGGACTTAGTTGATTTGTTTGCAAATCACTCGACGGAGCGGCAAGTTCTTTGGCTTCCCATAATTTCTTCAAGCTGCTAATACTTCCAGTGCTTTTTCTCTTATCATCCTCTTCGACTGTTAATACTTTTCCTTCGCCATTGCTTTCTCTTTTCTTATCTTCAACCACGTCTATTTTAATTTCAGTCTTTTTCAGTGGTTCCTTAACACTATTATTATTATTGTTATTGTTATTAGTGTTACAATTTGATTTTACTTTATTATTATTGTTACTGTTACAAGTTAACTCATCACCCTTGCTACTTATCTTATTAATATCATCTGGATTAATTTCAGAATCTGTTGGATCTACTTTACGTAATCGTGATTTAAAGTCAATTATACTCGTGGTTATTTCATCTTTAGGTGGTTCCTTTATTACCTTTTTTGGTTCAACTTTCTTCAGTTGGGCTTTAAATGCTATACCATTATTTGATTCTACAGGTAATGCTATGGGATTTTGCACATTCGAAAGTATTTGTTTAGCTGTGCTTGGTTTTCTGCCAAGATCTGATGGCTTAATAGGCGCCTCAGGTTTTGGAATGTGCATTGTTTCAGCCAATTCATTAATTAACAATGCAGCTGCTGGATCAATTTTTGGCACAATTTCGTTATTTTGAAAAGGTATTTTTGATACATCATTGAGATCATTTGCTGGACTACCGAGAGAGCTACAAGAATCTGTTGATGGCTCGCGCTTTCTTAAACTAACCCCGAATCGAGTACTTGCTTCCTCGACACTCGGAGCTGTATTTGAAACGTCATTATTGTTAGTATGATGTTTTAATGGTGGAATGTCGGAAATTAATTGATTATTTGATGTAACTCCATCGAATTCTTCTAAAAATAAATTTTAATGAGCATTAAGAAATATGCTTTAGAATGTTTATTAAGAGTGTTTTATTTAATTACCAGGTGGTGGAGGTGGAGGAAATTCTAAATCTTGTAATGCAGGAGCAGGAATACATCTTTTAGGACTATTATTACTTCCAGTACTTCTGAAGCTAGAAAATGTTGTCATCATTGTTCCATCTGTCGTTGTACGATGCCTCTGAAGTTTTGTTAAGCTAGCTGTAGCCGAATTTGTCATGGTTACTCCACCAGAAGAATTACTTCGAATCATTTGGGCTGGCGGTTGCATTTTGAGAGCAGTTCTTGGTGAATGATGATTGGATGGCAATTGATCAGATGATGGAATACCTAATATATTAACTTGTGATGGATTGACAGGCTGGATGATTTGCGGTGACTCATTTTCACCATTTTGTCGAAGAGATTCAAGGTATGCTCCAATTCTACTAGATTTTGGCAAGGTTCCATAACGATTTATCGCTCGTTTTACATTTTGAACTTCTAGTGCTCCCACTACTGTTTGCTGCTGTTGTTGTTGTTGTTGTTGTTGTGAATGCAAAGATTGTTGTTGTGGACTCATTGATTGATTACCTATTGGTGTTTTACGTTGACTCGACCTGGATTTGCTGTTTCTTGTATCCAAACGAGTGCCCATCATTGGAGCTCGCTTAAAAGAGGACGATTGATATTGTATTGGTGGCTTTGATAAATGTTCCTGACTATCTGTGTCAGTATCTGGTGTTATTTCTTGATTTTCATTTTCTGAATCTGCTCGAGAAGCCAAATTTGTAATTTCACGAGTAAATCCTGCAATAAAAACGTTCAACGAAAATATTACTGATTTGTTCAATAAAACTTTTGCATAAATAATTAGTTTGAAAAAGTAAAGGATGTATTAATGATAAAAGAGGATTAAAGGTATTTTCAAAATTTTCATTCATTTGTTATTGAACACACTTTTCGAAGATAACTCGCGAGCAATATTTACTATGTGTGTTAAAGCTTGTTATTAAAAATATTCTTTTGTTTCTACTTGTTTGGTTAGAAATACTCTAGAAAAGTTTACCATAACTCAAATCACACATCTTTAATATTGGAAATTTTCTATAAATTTTAAAAATACCTCGAAACAAGAGATCAATTATGAAGCTACTGCATGAAGAAGATTTTGCAATTTTACCCATACCATTAATTTCGTCAATATTCCGGTTGTCATCATCGCGATAGGTTGAATCCCGATTGGTTGAAAGCAAGCTTAAATCATAACATAGTTATTAATTACTATTACCATTATTATTATTATTTATAGTCAAATGACTTCTTGCTACATACCTTGTGCGTTTCGGTGGAGCTGGGGCTGTTTTTCCTTTTTTATTTGTGGTTCTTCTCATTTGTACAGCAGAGTTCAGTTTGGCTGATGAAAAAGTGCTCAATTTCGACGAAGAACCAGTTTCTGTAAACATCAATTGATAAAAATGATTAAGAATTAAAACTTGGAGGAAAAATAAGAAGAAAACAAAATATACCCGAAAGTGGAGTAATAGCTTGTTCGATTTGCTGTTGCTGTTGTTGTTGAACCATATGTGTTCCCATTTGAGGTTTTTTGCTCATCTGAGGAGTTAAAGTCGGTTGTATTTGAACCGTCGTTCCCTGTAATTGCTTTTCTACTGCTTCGATAATTGACGATTCCTTTATTTAGAAAGTTCGATTTACAATCAATTCAAATAATAAAAAAATACTTCATATCTTACCTGAAACATATGTTCTAAATCGTGATGAATACATTTAAAGGTTGGCCTATCCGTAGCGCTCCATTGCCAACATTTTCTCATTAGTTCATATACTTCTGGTGGACAGCCTTATTTTTAAATTGTTAAAACAAAGTTATTGATTTAGTCTTAATTTTAAATATAAGAGTCAAACCTGGTGGAATGTCCATTCTGTAGCCGGATTCGAGTCGATGATAAACATCCGTCAAATCAATTCCTGGATAAGGAGACATTCCATAAGTTGCTATTTCCCAAAGCAATACACCAAATGCCCAAACATCACTATAATTTAGATTTAAAAATTATTAGAATTATTATAGACATTATCTTTCTATTGTACCTACCTTCTTGTTGAAAATTTGTTATATGCTAAGCCTTCTGGCGCAGTCCACTTTAATTATTAAAAAAAAAAAAATAAAAATAAATTATCTTTCTTACGAAAACAACAAAAACTTTATATCTTACTTTGATGGGAAATTTAGCACCTGCATGGGCAGTATATGTATCATCACGCATCAATCTAGCAAGTCCAAAATCCTAAATCAGGAAAATTTTATATGAATTCGGTATGTGTATAAAAATAATCATATCTTACAGCAACTTTGACAAGATTGTTATCGCCTACAAGACAATTTCTTGCTGCCAAATCTCGGTGAATAAAATTTCTGCTTTCTAAATAGCTCATACCAGACGCAATTTGTGTTGCCATGTATAATAGAGCAACAGCATCAAGTGTTTCGCGTCCAGCAGCTCTCAAAAAGTCGAGTAAATTTCCATGAGACATGAATTCAGTTATTATATAGAAAGGAGGTTCACGAGTACAAACACCAATCAATTGTACTAAATTAGAATGTTTCATTTCTTTCATTATCGCAGCTTCTTCCAAGAAATCCTTAAGAGCCATAACATCTGTAAAGCAATAACTTTTAATAAAGCAAATAATTATTACAATTAAATCACAAAGTTTACCTTCTTTCAATGTTTTGACAGCAACAGTATTTCCATATCTTTTCCAAATAGCTTCGTAAACTTCACCATATTGACCTCCGCCTAATTTATGTTTCATAACAATATCCGTTCTGCTAATTTCCCATTCATCAGGTTCCTAAAAATATTAATTCATCTATGAGGACAGAAAGACAATATAATATATATGGTATAAAAACTTACAGGACTAAGAGGGAAAACTGTAGGTTTATTCTGTTTTGGCGCTGGATATAATAGAGGCGTTATCAGTCCATGACCTTCGTGTAAAACACTATGATGATGAACTAGTTCTGCCAATGTGTTGAACTTATATTCGGCAGTTACATAAACTTTTCCTTCGACATCCTCTTGAATGCGATAATGATAGACTCTCCCTTCGTATCGTAAGCTTATAGATCTTTGACCTGGCGAGCTCTCTGATTCACGAACTAAGAAACTGCCATTAATTCCCGAACTTAGTAAATACTCTGCTGCATTCCTTGATATTGGACCGTGATACCATGAATGTTTTTCCAATGAATTTAATGGTGTCACATAATTTGATGGAACCCAACCAATATGACCCGAATCACTATGTGCCTCACACCATTCGCCTGACTTGTTATAGGAGAGAATTCTCACTTGTTCACCCTTTCTTAAACTCAATTGATTTTCTCCACCTGCTTTAAAATCGTATAAAGCCACAAACAATTGTGGGTCATCATCCTCTGGTGCTGGTGTCAAAAGATTCTCTTTGGAGGTCCAACGATTCGCAGTTTCAAATGTTGACTGTGTATTACTGGTGTTGCTACCTTGTGAAAGTAACGTTCCACTATGATCAGAATTTTCTTGACACAAAACTTCTACCGGATTATGCGGCACATGAGGTAATGGCCGAGATTGCAGAAGCGCCTCTGTAAATAGAACAATTGATGAAATATAGATCAATTCTAAAATTGAGAGCAATTTTAAACAAACGAAAAAACATTGTGTACTAATTTAGTTCATTGCTATTTGTGTTTAAAAACACTAGTCAAAAAAATTGGAGATTATTTATTAAACGATCAGCGTCGATGAAAGAGAAGTTACGTTTTTAGAGAAACTTCTAATACACAAAAAAAAACGAATAAACATGTAATTTCCTTTGCAAGATTTCCGTTTTCGCTTTTTCACGCAATTATTGCACACTTATACGCAATAAATTTCTCTTCCGATCATGAATCCTTTATTATGGATTATAAACATGATTAAAATTTAATTTAAAGTGACAGCCAAGATTTTTGTTTTTACGAAGCCATAAAAATTTAAATAGGAAAATAAATATAAACCAAGAAAATATGATAAAAATTGCATTTAAACAATCAAGCACCTATGTACAACAGTATTTAAGAATAGCATGTGAATTGATGTTTAAATTTTTAAAATTAAATAGGATAATAGTATGAAGAAACTTAAGAAACATAAACAAGCAATTCATAGAATACTGAGTATAACTTTTTATTATTAATATTTTACTCATTCATCAGCATTTGCTTGCTCATTAATTTAGTTCTTGATTTATTTTGAATTTCAATCAACATAAGCAAATGAGTCATTGCTGAGAATTTTTCCTGGAATTTTGCGATATTCATGCTGTAATTTTGTCATTAAGTATTGAGCATATGAGACTTTTTATCTTTTTTCTAAATTCGCATTAAGTGTGAATAAGAGGATGTTACCAAACATGTTTTAAGTTTTAAAAAATAGAAATCTGACAACACAGCACCAACTATTATTAATTAAAGTTCGCCATTATTTTACAATAATAAGTGCTGATAAATAAGTATAAAAATATAAACACCGCAATCTTAAGCAGTCTTTGAAGCTTCAGCAACATTAGCCTTTTAGGATTTTTTCTCACACTAAGAATTAACTGCTTAATTTAATTATAAAAAAAAAATTGAACAATTGAACAATAAAAAAGAGCAAAAGAAAGAAAACTTTCTTTAGCGATTCGGCGAAAAAAAAACCAAGTTCACATAAAGTGGTTCATATATGCGGTAGAGCAAATAGACATAGGAAATTTATGGAAATTTACTTTAGTCGTGCATAAGTGCCCCATGAAATGAAGATCATCAGGGTTGTTAAAACATATTCTATTTTACAGAATATGTACACATATCCAACACATTTTGCATGTTCACGTGTACAATGTGTGGCAGAATTCATTTGTTGGCAGATAATATATGTCACACATTGCATATGTGCACATATTTTATGTGTGATGTGTGACACATTATTTTGTGTCACATATGAAAATGTGTGATGTGTGACACATTTTTATGTGTGTGGATATCATGTGTAAACATGCAAAATCTGCACATATTTATTAATTTGCGGGACTAAAGTGGTATTTTTTTGTAAAATTTATTGATATATAACCAAAACAGTCAAATACTGCATAAAAGAGTTAATTTTGTCGAAAATATGTTCATCAAACTGTAATTTTAAACTAATTTGACTTTTTTTTCGGAAAACTTGACTTAAAATTGATTTACGAGTGATTAAGGGACACGAGTTTTACTATTAAAGTATTGATCATAACTGAAGCTCATCATTCTTAGTTTAATCTTCATTTCTCCAACAAATAAAATCAAATTAGTTTAAAATTACAGTTTGATGAACATATTTTGGAGAAAATTAACTCTTTTATGCAGTATTTGACTGTTTTGGTTATATATCAATAATTTCTTAAATAAATTCTGCAAAAAAATACCACTTTAGTCCCGAAAATTAATAAATATGTGCAGATTTTGCATGTTTACACATGATATCCACACACATAAAAATGTGTCACACACCACACATTTTCATATGTGACACAAAATAATGTGTCACACATCACACATAAAATATGTGCACATATGCAATGTGTGACATATATTATCTGCCAACAAATGAATTCTGCCACACATTGTACACGTGACCATATTTTTAAAAAAGGCCAGATTCTATTTTTAACCACCCTGAAGATCATAATAAAGGAGAAATGAAATAAAATGACGAATCAAAGGCAGGGAACGAATTTGTATTGAATTATTGCATGATTTGCAAATAAAAATTATACCGGCAACAAAATAATAATCAAGTAATACACCGTGAATCTAAATGAATATCATTTTGTGCTGTCTATAAATTTTTAAATTAAATCGTTTATAACGGTTACAAAACCCATCAATAAAATCATCAATCTGAATATTAATTTCGTCTACTAAAGTTATTGTTCACAAAATTGAAGTTTAAAGAAAGTATCGGAAGGACATCATAAGTGATACAATTTTCCTTTGGAAATAATTTTTCGTTCAAAACAAGCCCAATAGAATTTAAATTTAAAGAAAAACATTAAACTAAATTTAAGAACCATTTGAATTTCTAAATCAACTGTTGCAGTTAATGTGAATATATTTAATAAAAATTTGACGGAAGATCATCCTGCAGACATTTAAAAAGAGAGCAGTAGCTATGTATTCGCCCCAGCGCACAATGGTCTAATTTTCAAAAAAAGGGGAAATGATATGTTTTTGGAAAAGTTTCACCATAAGTCTTCGGGGATGTCTCATTTTAAAGCTGACATTGATACACGATGATTTCCTAAGTTTCAAGTTTTTTTCGTCCATCTGGTGCTGAGTAGCAGGTCCTCAAAGTTAGGTATAGGCGAATTTTCTGTTTTTTGAGAATCTTTATTCAAACTCAATTTGCTCGATAACTACTCAACCAAATGAAAAATGGTTTTAGGTTCCTAAAAGCACATAATAGGACCTATATTTTGAAATATCACACTATTTGAAAATTTTTATCAAATGGAGTAGTGGCAGATTTAGTATGAAAAAATAGGGGAAAATCCCTCTACAAAAGTTCGTGACTGCCGCAAACTACCTGAATTAAGATCTAGCCTATTAAATTTACCTTTAGACTATATAGTCAAAACCTCCATCTTTCAAAATTGGTATCTCATTATACCCAGAGATTGCACTTTTTGAAGTTATAGTCAATCAGATTTGGCCAAAAATGCCAAATTTTAAAAACTTTATTTCTTAAAAACCATTCAAAAAATCAACTTTTGCTCTAAACAGGCTTAAACATGAAGTTTTTGATTCAATACTTGATTGTTGGGCTATTTATGATTGATTTTTAAAAAACTTTTTTAAAAAAATTGTATTTTGGGGACCCTATGCTGATTATCGACTTGACCCTTTCTTCCATCACTTAAACTGCTTTAACTTTTTATAGAGCAAATATTTTTCGAAAATTCGCCTATACCTAACTTTGAGGACCTGCTACTCAGCACCAGATGGACGAAAAAACTTGAAACTTAGGAAATCATCGTGTACCAATGTCAGCTTTAAAATGAGACATCCCCGAAGACTTATGGTGAAACTTTTCCAAAAACATATCATTTCCTCTTTTTTTGAAAATTAGACCAGTGTGCAGCGACTAAATAACTTAATCGTGCCTATACATATTCTCAATTTGAGCATAAACAACGAAACTATGTATTGTTGTTAATCAGTGTATTATTTAACTAGTAAAAAAATGTTTAACATTTATAATTCAGTTTGCTTATATAGCTCACACACTGAAGAATTTTAAATGGTTTATAATAATTTGAATAAGATTGCATGTCACTAATTCCTGGTGCTATTATTCTTTACGATTTTCACTTGAAATAGGATTTCGCTATCGTGATTTGGAACGATAATTTTCATGTCCTACTAAGAAAACTTCACTGAGGTGCCACATAAATACCATTTTCAAAAATTGGTGTGCTGGGAAAAATCTGTACTTTGTTTTAAGCGTTGTCATAATGGCAGTTAAACTTGGTCAGTCATTTTCATGAATATAAAGTGAGATGGAGAGAAAGCTCAAAGGGAATAACAATATAAATTAATTTCCACGCACTTTAAATGATTACGAAATTAAAAATTTGTTACTACTTCCTTCCAGTTCGAATTTGGAATCAAAATGTTATTAGGCAATTAAAAAAGTCAAAGTTGAATATAGAAATTTAAATATTAAAAAAATAGGATTAATGTCTTTTGTGTAGTTATTACTTCGTAAAACATTTGGATTTTCGCTATCTGTTCATCACATGCATCGATGCTTAACACATCGTTTAACAGCAAGTACATAGTTAACTTTGCATGCACAATATCGAACATATGATATAATTGAGAGTATTATCCATTAATTAGCAAAGAAACGTTTTCACTATCAGTTCCATAATGGAAAGTTTACAATTACCTATCTTATGGTAAATAATGAAAATGAAAGTGCAGTGGCATAAGACGTTTACATTGTACAATTGATGGATATTTAAAAAACTTATTTATGAAAAAAAAAATATAAAGTTCTGTTTGACTTAAAGAATTACACCGATTATAATCTCTAGACCTTGCGATTGTTGTGATCTATAAACACGTTCCAAATTGAAATTTAATTCCATAAATTATATTTTGAAGAACAAATCATATGTTGCGCTTAAATAATGATAACAGTAGAAGGAAGATGAATGTAGAATCAACAAATTTGGCAACAGTGCATTGCATCAGTCATTGAAAAATTTTCTCCCATTTTGGTCGCATAAAATATTTATTTTCTCTCATTTATTCTTCGATTTCTTTTTATTTTCCTCTTTAAATTGAAGAATTTCTCATTGGAGTCCATTCAATCAGCAACAACAATTAAAGTTTTGTGAACTTTATTACTTAATAACACATCGAAGACTTCTTGATTGATTGAGCATAATTTTCGCAATTTTAATTGCTTCTATACATGTTTTCATGAATACAGGAATTTACGTTCATACCAATCCACTTTTACATTTTTTATGCACAGCTCAAGAGCATCCAAAAAAATTCATGAAATTCATTTATGGAAGCAAAAAAAATAAAGTATGTCTAACTTTCAGACTCTCACTATTGTTATGACAAGTTGGACGGAAAATATTCTCATTAGACTGCATTATCATGTATGAAACAAGTATTATGGGAGAAAATCTGCTGTTGTTTAAAAATGCAATCTGAGTTATTTGAACCATATAAAAATTTATATATAAATATATTTAGAGAAGCATTAGAAGTGTCATGAAAAATCACACTTAAAAGCAAGAATAATAAAAAGGTAGAAATCTAGACATAGTAGTATACAATTTCTAAATGAGCATGACGAAAATAAAAAGCCGAAACATCTATGGCACAACATTTTCTATCAATACTGCGAGAAAGAAGTGAAAAAAATGAAGGAAACATCAATTTGAAATAATTTTACGCATTATAAGACTTTTAAGGCACAAAATCTTTCATTCTTTGTGCTTAAGTACTAAACAACTTTATGGTTTTTTTACTTACCACTGTGCTCAGTAAATATATTTGATCCTAATATCCTTGGATCTTTTGGAATTCTTGATTTTGAACGACTTGAACGGATAGATGATGGAACCGCACCTCCAATCGAAAGATTTGGTAAGGAAGATTGTTTAGACTCGGATTTTACTGACTGTTGATTTCCCATAATTCATTAAATTTGATTTTCTCTTAGCACTTGCACAAATTTCACTTTATGTGATCAAATCTTAATACATTTATCACCACTTTATATCATTATTTCAGATTTTTTGGGAAATTTTATAGTCATCGCCTTTTAAAGCTCTCATTTCTAATTTTTTTTTTTCAATTTTAATTTTTTTTTCTCTCTCTTCTTTTGTATGTACCCAAATTCACTTTTTCACTAATTTTCCTCTTTTGCTGATGGAATTTTAAGCATTTTTTGGCTTGGACTTTAATCACAGCACTTTATTGATCCAATTTAATTAATTTTAGAAAGTTATCTACTGTTTTGACTCTCATTCGAAAAAAATATAATATTCAATGATTCCGATCCATTCAGCAAATTTACTCAAATGATGGTGATGTATACTTTTTTAAAAACTTTGTATACTTTACAAGTTAAGATATTATTAGTATGTAATGAACAAAAGCGCATTTTTCGTTGTAACAGAAAACATTCTTCTTTCACAAGTAACCAGTGTTGCAAATGTAGATGTCTACACTAGATGAAGAATGTAGATTCTTCAATAGTTTTTGTCTAGCTAAGAAACTTTCTTCATAAAGATCGATTCTACATGTAGAAAGAAAAAAACCATCTACATGTAGATTGTGTCTACATGTAGAATCTGTCTACATGTAGATTCGATGTAGATGTCTATAATTCTACATTTTTTCCAGGTCTACATCAGAGAAGAATGTAGAATCGTAGTCATCTACATTAAATCTACATGTAGACAGATTCTACATGTAGACACAATCTACATGTAGATGGTTTATTTCTTTCTACATGTAGAATCGATTTTATGAAGAAATTTCTGTCTCAGAATTTATCTGATCCAGACAAATAGCCAGAATGCAACACTGCAAGTAACATTTGTTTATGCATAAATTTGTAACTGAATCTGTCAAATATGATCGCAATTTTTCAGCAGCTTAATAATTGAAACTTTTTCCTCAATAGATCTTGAAAATGACTGGCAGACTGACAGATAAAGTGAGGATAATAACACCTCATTGCCTTAAAAAAATATCCTTTTCCAAGAAAAAGATACTGAAAAAAAACGGAGATGTAAATACTAAAAAATGATTAAAGTTTCCAAAACTTTATATCAACAATCCATTTATCAATAAACTTTTAAGCTTTAGATTATATTCCGCAAACTTATATTGTTTAATTATGCTCATTACCGATTTTACTTCAATGTTGTTATTATGATCCATGTCAATAAAGCTTTATTTGAAAAAATTAAGAAAATTCATTTGTTTGAAGTAATTGATAAGATCACTATAATTAACATTTAATAATGTCTGAATGGGATCAAGTTACAGTTTTGAAGAAGAAACCATTGAAAGCAGCACAGTTAAAGACGGAATCTGCTGTTAATCAAGCCAGTAAATAATCATTTCGATGATATCAAAAATGGCCAACACACTAATATACTTTTTCACATTATTCTTTTATACTTTAGGGAGGCAAGGATTTGAAGTTGAAACACATCAGAAATGTGAGTAAATTTGACTTAATCATAGTGTTAATTTAATAACTATGTGTTACTCTAATGTAAAATAATAACAAGAACAAATTTGTCAAATATTGTGAAATTCTGGATGATTCCAAAAGTCTGTAGCGCATTTCCTTAAAATTGTAGTCTTTTGTTAATTTCATTACTTTTGTGACCAAGATTCATTAGTTTTTGATGGCAAAGGAACTAGAAATATGAATGTATGCTCTATTATTAAAGAAGTTCTAAATTACAGTTAATGCAGGAACTAATAAGCAACATTTACCGACAAAGAATACTGCAAAACTAGATCGTGAGACTGAAGAACTAAAGCACAAGGCAATTGATGTTTCTGTAGCAAGGCTAATTCAACAAGGTCGTCAGGCAAAAGGCTTATCACAAAAGGACCTTGCAACTAAAATCAATGAAAAACAGCAGATCATCACAGATTATGAAGCAGGAAGGTAAATCCTAACGGGTTTGGGACATTTGCCCACTGGCTTTTGCCCACTCTACATATGCCCACTGACATTTTCCCACTGGTACTTATGCCCACTGGTACTTTTACCCATTGATATATTTGCCCACTGATACTTTAGCCCACTCGTATATTTGCCCACTGTATAGTTGATAAAAGTATTTATGTTCAAAAAATAATTTTTAACGCATTTTCGAAACTTGATTCGGTACTTTTTTAAGATTTTTATTTTTAGGGTTTGAGGCATTCAATTTACCTATCTTCTCTTAAAATTTGATTTAATTTCTGTTTTTGGTTTTACTTGATGTTTAATTTGATTATTTGGTGTTTCGCGATGCAAAAGGACTGTTTAAGTTTGCTTTTGAAATCTGGCATAAACCTCTGGCTATTCTCTACAAGATAAATTGCGAAATTTTTCACTAAACTTAATAAGGGTTTCAGTACTCAATATACTTTTGGCCATTTCCAGATATCAGATAAAATAATAAAATACAGTATTGTATTAAATACAGCACTCTATTTGGATAAACCCTCGAAGAAGAAAAAGGGAAAAACTAGATTTTGACTAAGCGCGCCCTTAGTCTACAATTGAAAATGTAACTATTCAGACGTGTTTCCTTCACTTTCACACTACACATTATTTTCGACAGTGTTGCTTTTAGCAGCCTTTAAAGCTAATGAGGGAAATTAATTCTGCCTTTATATCCCAAAGTTCCTCTCTGTTGATGGTGTCATATGCTACACGAAGATCAACCAAGAGATGTAGGGTTTCTACGTTCATATCATAACATTTCAAGACTATTTGACAAATGCTTAACAATTGGTCAAATATCTTTCGTTCCTTTTGCTTTAAATAACAAAATATTTGGATTTTTGTGACAATCGCCTTATTCCAAAAAATGTCATTCTGATTTCTCAAGCAAAAATGCATGCTTTTAAGCGGCTTCATAACTATTTATTTTTATCGTGTACATTTTACCTACTTTTAAAATTGTAAACACCAAATAAATCAAATTAAACATCAGGTTAAACCAAAAACAGAAATTAGATCAAATTTTAAGAGAAGATAGGCAAATTGAATGCCTGAAACCCTTAAAAATTAAAATCTTAAAAATGTACCGAATCAAGTTTCAAAAATGCGTTAAAAATTATTTTTTGAACATAAATACTTTTATCAACTATACAGTGGGCAAATATACGAGTGGGCTAAAGTATCAGTGGGCTAATGTTTCAGTGGGCAAAAGTACCAGTGGGAAAATGTCAGTGGGCATATGTAGAGTGGGCAAAAGTCAGTGGGCAAATGTCGGTAACCCATCCTAACACGTCAATAATTATATCACTAATAAAAAATCTAATACTCGATATGCTTGTCTTTGCAGGGGAATTCCCAATAACATCATCCTTGGAAAAATGGAAAGAGTCCTTGGTGTTAAATTGCGGGGAAAGGAAATTGGCAATCAGTTTGTTCCTCCGCCTCCTAGCACAAAAAAATAGATGCTGCATTTCTAGGAGGCGATGCTAAGATTATAAAATATCAATGCAGGCAATTGAACATCTCTTACATCTTCAACTAAATTACTTATCCAAATTTTATTTCGATATTCATTTAAAGCACACCCAACATTTATTTTTTGAACTGATGTCTGATAACTTTGTTTTATCACACATTTGGAGTGGTGTTTTTAGAATAATGAACTTTGGTAAATGCTGGATATTTGCTTTCCAATCGATAATTGTTTTTTTTCTTCTTTTTATTAATGAAAAAATGAAAATTCATGATTTTTGAGGATTTAAATAAAGTGTCAATACATGAAAAAGTCAAGAAACTAATCTGTTGAATTACACAGTGTTTTATTTACTTCCAGTAATTTAAAAGAATAGAAAAAAATGTGAGAAAATAAGGATAAAAATCTAAGAAAATTAAAGTTTTAATCTTTTCTCAATGGTTCATTACGCTTTTCAATGCCATTTTCAGTAACGATCGAAATTTGAATACCGTCGCCAGTATAGATATCACGTTCAGCTGCTGAGATGAAAGTATCTCTTACCAAATTAACAGCTCGTTCAATAGTCAATGGAACATTTGGTTTTTCCTCCATATTTTTTAAACCAATTTGATTGTCTAAAATTGGCTGCAATAATGCAGACGAGGATCCTCCTGCGCGATAAGTATGACGCTCACAATGACCGATTGGATCATAGGAATAAACATATCCTTTGCCTTCATAAATTCCAGCTAGAACATTTGAAACATAATAAGGGAAAAACCTGCGACCATACATCATTGTAGAGAGAAGCTGTGCTAATGCATTCAAACTAATTTCTTTATTCTCATGAGCGTCTGAATATTGTCGTACTCTGGTTTGTAAGATGCTCGTCAGTGTATCAGAATCGCACCAATTTCCACAACTTGCTAGAACGGCTGTTGAAGTCAAATGAAATAGCTTTGAGTGATTTCTTGAAAATATATTATATCCAGCACTTAATCGAGTATCAGCTCCAATGACTGCAAAGTTATCGCCAGCAATAGCAACAATCGAGCTATAAACAAAGAAATATTGTTAAATTAAGATTCTATTTTTTTTTGTTTGTCATCATCGCTAAGGTTAATAGAAATTTTCACCTTTTCCTCAAATACTCACCCTCCATTATATTCATATGGATTGAATTGATGCTGAACTGCTCCGGGGACTTGATATTCAGGAAATTGATTAACACCGAGCATTTTAATTGATTAATTACAGCTTTTTTTCGATTAAACAAATTCTTTTGAATTATTTTGAAATTATGAATTTTTATAGCAGTTTTTTGAGAACTGAAACCCCCACAAAGCTGCTATAAAACTAGTATATCGGGTAGAAACGCAATGCGGATATATTCACACCGTACCATCATAAGTCTTATGAATAGAGCAAGATTTGCTCAGCATATGTTTGAAGGTGTAAAGCTTGATAAGTCAGCTGATCTTCACTCAGCATAAATTTGAAGGTATAAAGCTAGCGATTCAGCTGAGCTTCGCTCAGCATAAGTTTAAAGGGGCCGTTCACTTATTATGTTACGCAAAAAAATGATTTTTTGATGACCCCCCCTACCCCCTATGTTACATTTGGTTACAATTTTTCAAACCCCCCCTCCCCTCTAAAATGCGAACGGCCCCAAAGGTATAAAACTAGCGAATCATCTGAGCTTCAAGTATATAAGTTTGAAAGTTTAAAGCTTGACGAACATTCTTTAAAAGTTTTTTAAAAAATTTTTCATCCAAAGTTGAATTTTATAAAAATCACAGTAAACTTTTTTTTTTGGAAAATTCGTAGGAAAGGAAACTTTTTTCCTTTTTCTGAAGCAACGGCTGTTCTTACCATGCCCAAAGACAATACAGCTCTTTTATAGAGCAGCACGGATCAAATGTAAAAAACTAGAAGTCTCTACGATGTCTCGATATTGAGATTTCTTGCTGATTAACTTGCTTGTTTGCTTGCTTACAGAAAGCGTGTTTTACGATTTTCTCAGCAATGCCTTCACACAAATTTGAATTCTGTTTTTTGCAGAAGATGTGAAATTTCAGGCACAAACTTTTCATCGCTGAGCATATTAAGCTGTCTTGTTCCATTTCCTCGCAAAATGCGAAAAACTGATTTTTCAATCTGAACAAAACCAATAAATTCACACGTGAAAACGGTGTGAATATAAAAATATTTTGATAATATTCACTTGTTTTCCCCCTGCTTTTAAGCTGATCACTTGAAGTTAACAAAATTCTCGTCCTTAATTACAATGACAGCACCTTTAATTAATTTAAATAATGACATTCAAATGCCAGCTTTCGGACTAGGCACTTATTTGGTAAGTAGTAATTTTCACATCAATATCATATATAAAAACAGTACTGATTAATTAAGTTAATCGATTATCGATATCTCTCTTTATCAGTTCTTTAAATTGCCTTATCGTATTTACAACAATGTCGTGATTTCGTAATCACCACAACTTCCCGTATATAATTAATTCTAATTCGAAAACATAATTAAAATACACTTTTGACATTTGAGCTGTATATCCATAATGGTGTTTGCTGGAATCAGATATTTTTATTTATATGTGCAACGATTAATTATTGTAGTTCAGTTCAGTGAAAATTCTGTAATTTATTTGTGTCATTCGAGTAGCCACAATAGGTCTGCTATATAAAGGATGTGGTTCTTAGTCCTTATGAACATATGTCTAAAAATAAACAATTTCTTTTCTAGAGTACTGAGTTCGATGGCTATAAATACACAAAGTTTTGTTTAGAAAATGGGTATCGACATATTGATACTGCCTATTTTTATGAAAATGAAGATGTGGTTGGAAAAGCTATAAATGATGTTATATCGACTGGATTACTGAAACGAGAGGATATTTTTGTAACAACAAAATTATGGAATATCCATCATGAACCGGAACTTGTAGAAAAGGCATGCCGCAAAAGTCTTGAAAATCTCAAGCTTGACTATATTGATTTATACTTGATGCATACTCCAATCGGATATAAATATTCTGAGAATGAAGAATTGCTTCCAAAAGATGCTGACGGAAACTTTCTCTTTAGTGATGTCGATTATCTTGATACATGGAAGGCAATGGAAAAGCTCGTTGGACCAGGACGGCCAGTCAAGTCTATAGGTTTAAGCAACTTCAACAGTGAGCAAATAACACGTATACTTGAAAATTGCGACATAAAGCCTGTCGTCAATCAAGTGGAATGTAATACTTCCATAAATCAAAAGAAGTTGATAGAATTCTGTAAAGCTAGAGATATTGTTGTTATGGCTTATTCACCAATGACGAGACCACACTATTTTGAAAAAGACAAATCTTTACCTAGACCAGCAATCTTACATGAAAAAGTAAAGGAAATAGGCCAAAAATATAACAAAAGTCCTGGACAGGTAGTCTTGAGATATCTTTATCAAATTGGCACAGTTCCAATTCCTAAATCATCAAATGAAAACCGAATTGTTGAAAATATTTCAATATTTGATTTTGAGTTGTCAGTCGAGGAAATGCAATTCATGGATGGATTTAATACTGGTCAAAGAACTGTTCCTTTCAATGCCTGCAAAACTCACAAATATTACATGTTCAATATTGAGTTTTAAGAAGCCTTATTATGTTTGGATAAAATGGCATGAAGAAAAATGTATTTTTTTAACCATAATTTTTGAAAGTTATGCTTAATAAAATTTAAAGATCGCAATTAATTGATATTATTTCTTGGTTTGAGCACTTTGTTATTTTAATTCTTATGATATTCTGCAGATATTTTAAGTATGTTTCTGTAGAAAACATGAGAAAAAATAAAATTTTTATCTTTGCTGTGTCTGATAGGGCTGGTCAAACTATGACAAGTTTCCCATACGCTAGCAGTGTCCTGTGTAAATTCTTAACTCAAAATTTGATTTTATCTTATAGCCAGTACTTTTATCTTTCCAACAATACCAAATTTATGACATATACTTGAGATTTTATGTAGTTTTGAGCAAAAATGTTAAGTATATAGTATATTTAAAGTCATTTACATCTCAGAGAAAATGAAAAATACTGATAATTCAAATCAAAATGATTCAAGTCCGTGCCAAAAACTCAAATTGATTTTAAAACATTAAAAACATTATTTTCTATCATTCCTGAAAGTTTCATCAAGTATGGGGATGATTTTTGATGAAAAAAGTTGAAAAAGATTTTTGAGGTGTATGCAGATGGCATGTTTCAAATTGTTTCAAATGGTTCAAAGTTGAAAATTTGGCGGAACTTTTTTCCAGGTTTTCACAGTTTCAGAAAGATACAAGTGAGAGCTATGTAAAACAGTTAAAACTTGTCTCTCCACTTACTTGGAATATGCAGTTATAGTCAATTGAAGTAAAAACATAGTAAAAAACCTATATTTTTCGAAAATATCTTAATATTTTGATGCATAAATATAATTTTAAACCTTAAGATTGATATTTTTCTTGGAGATCTAGCAAAGGGCTACAATTGAATGAAAAAAGAAAAACATTTAAATGCATCAGTAATCTGCATACTCAAAAAAAGTGTGCCGTACTACTAACATTTGAAGTTTCGTCAATTTTTAAGCGTTTCCATGAAGTAAAACTTACATGACTGATATTTATATTAAAGCTTCAATTTATATCTGTCATTTAAACAAAGTTTCAAGAAAATTGGTTGAGACAAGAAAAGTTCTGATAAATTAAAAATATTTACAATCGATGGTCATCAAAATACATTTAGGACTATATCTCCAGCATTGCTGCACTTTGGGCCAAAATTAAAATAGATTCTGATTCCTTGGATAAAGACCTTTCAAATAAGCCAATAAAATAATTTTTGGAAAAAAAATTCGATTTATCCCATAGTGCCCCGTATTCATGTCTGAATGTATTGTTTTTGTTCAGTTTAAACTGGAAGTTAATATTAACTTTGAGCAATGTAGCTTTTTAACTTTAAACATTTATATTTGCTGAGCGAAGCTTGATCTATTAACAAGACTTTCGATGGTAATGTGTGAATATATCGACTTTGTGTTTATACCCGATACATTGATAATAGCCATGCATAAAATTCGATTTTTATGATTTATGTTTCAAAATAATATTTTATTTTGTTTAATTAGATAACATAATTGTACATATTTTTAAAATCACAATTTTAATTAAAATATGAATAGGTTTTGTGATGAAGCATCCATTTATTTTGCTAGCTTAAAGCTTGTTTTGAAACAAATTTAGATGTATATATATATATATATATATATATATAATATGGTTTAGAAACAGATCTATTCTGGAATTATGGACTAATAGTTGTTACTAGTTTGAAGCAAGCTCTACAAACCGGAACAAGTTTTTTGGAATGATGGCCGGGTAATGGAATAAATTTATCAATACATCTAGTGCAAAATATTTCACCGCATCGCCAGCAATGGGTCTAATGGGAAAGAAAAAATATTAAAAAAATAAAACAATATATAGAATTTTCAATTCTTAGTACCTTCTTCATTTCTTGAGAGAATGGGGTGGAACATTGACATGCTGTTGCACTTCGAAGGCTCTTCCAATCAAGAGCAACTGAATTGATTTCAGCAGTAATTTGATCGACTTCTTCGGAATTATTGTCAGAAACAGATAAGTTTGAGAAACAGTAACTTTCAGACTTCAAAGGATTTAGTGGATGGTCGTGATCAGCTGATTGAAGTTCACTTAATTTCTTATTATCATAATTAAATTTGTTATCTGCTCTTCCCGTTGCATTTTGTAATAAATTTGCTCCGTTGGTTTGAAGCTTCTTTGCAGATTTGGATATTAAATTTTTCAAATTACCAATACGCTAAAACATTATAAAAAAGGATTTAATTGATTTTAATATAAATATGACTTGAAAAAATATCTTACTTTAGTCAAATGTTGAACATGTTCGTCTAATGAGGAGCAGTGCTCTTTACTTGCAAGTAAGAAATCGCTAACGTCTTCTCTTGGATGAATTCCACTTTCAAATCGACTGTACATGCCTCGCCAAAATTTAATACACTGAGGCGCTAAGTTTGGCACTAAGATGTCGTCCACTTCTCCCGGTTTATACAACGGATTTAGATATTCATTCATATGATTAGCCATAAAACCCCATAATGAAAATGTTTTTTCACATAATTTTAAATCTAGTCTATCCTTTTCACAATTTCCAACAAAAGTTCCAAATTGACAAGACATGACATGATCGTGCAGTATTAAAAGAAATCGTTCATTAAATTCAAAAGCATCGATTCTCTGTTGCATCATTTGCCATACGCTATCAAGAAATTGCGTGAAAATTGGTGAAATTTCTTTTGGATCAGTGCTTAAATGTCCACATCTTTCGCTAAATTTGTGCCCAAATGACAGCCAATCTTTTTCAATAAGACATTGAAAACCTTTTATTGTACGATAATAGGGATCTAACATCAATGAAGCTAATGAGCAAACTTGAGAAGTTCTATCCCAACCATCACTACAATGAACGACGACTGAAATGCCTTTATAAACTGCATTTGCTATGAAATATGAAGTATCTAACATTGAACGAATGTGTTTTAACCATCCAGATGATTCAAGTGCTGACAAAAATCCGCTCATTGACTTTTGTTCGCACGTTTCAATAAGTTTTTGTAAGCTCGCTCTCATAATATGAATATTTTCAATGCCCAGAAAATGAAATTTTGTATTTTCGTAAAAAAGTTCATTCTCATAGCCTTTTCCAGCAGCTCGATTCGCCAATGCATTCATCTACATTTTAATGAGGTTTTAGATAAGACTTTCAATTCAATAAAAACAAAAACTGTTTTTAAGCTTACCCTTGGTCGAGTGTCTACGACATATAAAATATTTGAATTTGGATTATTTTTTCTTATTTTAACAAATAATTGTTCATCCTCAACACAACGAGCTGAGAACCCAGCTAAAGGCTGCGAACATCTGCATATAGAAGCTTTATTGGGATGAAGATAGGTTAAAGCTGGAAGTCGGCCTTTGCTTCGGAATCTTGAGCTTCCCAAAAGAATTGCTTTATCTACTGAATTCGGTACATAAAACTGATTTGGATATGTATCACATAACTCATAGCCTTTGTTCATCTTGCATAGTTGCCACTCATCATTCGGAACTTTCATACGTTTAAATTCACTTTCTAACTTAAAGTAATCCCAACCTGCACATTTCTGCAGGTCCTCAGTGCTTGATGTATACTGAAAACAATACAGATTCTGATAGCTTACTGGAAAAGAATATAATTCAAGAACTATTAAGAAACAGTTATATTAATTAAATACTATTAAGTTAATTACCAGGCTGATACAATTTCGATAATGTTGTATATACGTCATGACATTCTCGCTCTTTAGCTATGACAAATGTTACTGACAAAAATGTTTTGCATCGTATTAAAAGTGGAGATCCTGTAGTCGTCAATGGTTGTTTCTCGACATTTGAAATGTGCATATGAAGAATCTTTAAATATTGCCATAAATCAGTTGAAAAATTTAAATTTAAATTGAAGTATCCTTACCCATGTTTCTTTATTGGCTATTGGATCGACAAAGATGAGATGAGTTGCCGTTAAATAGAGTGTTCCGACAATTGAATTTTTGCTATTATACCTATCAATCATCCTTACATTCTCAACCTGCAAAGAATGTTTTTTGATATTTATTTCTTATTTGCCAAAAAAATGACATTTTACGTAACAAGCTTAATAATCATCACCTTTCGAATCATAAGGACATCGCGAAAGAAAACTGGAAGAATCAATTCTTGATCAGAAGCTAAATTATCTTCAAGCCATTTCTTAAAATCAACAATTAATTTTGGCAAGCTTAATCCGAGTATACATGATCTACGATTTAGTTCTTTAAAATCATTGACTAATAAATCACTATAATACTGAATTTCTTCTGGGGAAACTAAATCAAAATTTTGCTTAAAATCACTAAAACTTGAAGTATTTTCATAATCTGAAAATCTATTCATTGCCTTCAATTAATCTAAATAAGAGAAATGTGAATTACAATTTTTTTTTCTTTTTTCCTTTCCTTCTGAATTGATTTTCCTTAATGATCCTTAAAGGAATATTTTGAAGAGAGTAAATTTCCATAAGAGAGAACTTTCTTAAAATTCTCATTTTCCTAATTTTGAGCACAAGAACTTCTATATGATATATTTTATGATTTGCAGGCTTTTTTAAATATATTAAATTAAATATAAATAAAAGCTTCAAAAAGACTCATTTTTTATCGAACAATAGGCTGATATAATTAATTGTATTCTACAATACATATCATTCAAAATTGCATTTTTAGTGAAAATTGCATCGTTTTAATTTATTTTTTTGGAACTAGTAATATAGAAACCATAGGTTTGTTAATAATGAAGCATTAATTATATAAAATATCACAACAAAAATATGAAAATAAGCGATTATGCTCTTATCAAGTTTCGAAAAAACATACAAAAAGTTTTTAACACAGCTTTTAACATGTTTTCCACTTTATTACCTTTGGTATTCTTATATGCTCCATCTTTAAAAGTGTCACAATTATATTTATTCTAAACTTGATTATTTATACTATCCTTATTATCATGAAAAGCTTAGTTTTTAATTTTTTAAAAATATTTTCTTTATGATTTAAAAAGACAAGCAATTTCTATAAAGAATGTCAATAGCTTTTGTTTGACGGAATGTCTGGAATTTAAATTATTATTGACAGTTATTAATTAGACATAAATCATTGAATTTCTGTATCAATTTAATTAACAACAAGTCAAGTTTCGAAAGTTTATTATTAAAGCTTAATAAGGTATTTATAAGGTTGGAAAAGTTTATAAAAATAAAAAAGATATTTTTAACGGCTTTTTAAATTTATTCTGTAAGTTTTGCATGGACATTATTGTGAGCGTCATGTACAACAGCTCAAAAAATCATTGTCATTAAAAATAATAAATTTAAGCGAGTAATTGGTGTTTTCTGTTATATTAAATAGTTGTAAAATATAGTTTGAAGAAAGATCAATAATTGTGACAAAAATTTGGTAAGTAATTAATTAATTTAAAGTGAAAAAACAAGTTTTAAAAAGAGTTATCAAAACACTCCTCCAAAAAAGCCGTTTTTTTACATCAAGACTCTCTGATTCTCTTAAAGAGCAATGCGAAGATTTTTGTGAGCGTATGTTTATTTCACGGCTAAGATAAATAAGATTAGTTGTAAAGTGTATACCTGTTTATTTGTACATTAAAACTGATAATTTTGATAACTATGGTTTGGTATGCGTAAAAAAACCGACGCATCATTTAGTAAGGCGACCAACGGAATTAAAATTAGGCGAGAGTTCTTCGTGATTAAATAATAAAAAGAAGACTTCCCAGATAGAGTTTTATTGAAGATAATGTAAAATAATGTTGAGAAATGATCGCGTGTCTCTCGCTGCATATTTTGTTTTGGAATGACTATTTCGAGTGTTTTTGGTAATATGCATTTTTGTATGATTACGATTACATATAACACATTTTGGGAACCAAACATTGATAGAAACTACCAGAGGGCGAAGTCGACTCGAAATTTGTATGAAGTCGAGTGAACTCAAGTCGACTTTTCCATACAAAATCCGAGTCGACTTCGCCCTCTGGAAACTACAATTCAAAGAAATGAGAGAGGGAGCTAAAAATAAACATTATAAAAAATGAACTTTCCAATAAGTAGCAAAGCTAGGCATTTTCGGTCTCATTTTCTTTAAATATATTCAATAATATTCAAGTTGTTCTCTTGTTTAAAACGCGCGTAAAAATAAGGTTTCTCCCGACATTTTTTTTCAAACTCGCTAGATCTCGTAACAATTAATTGAAATGTATAACATTGTTTTATTTCTTTTCTATAGATTATAAATAATATATGAGTAAATAACTTTAAATACAACAATGTCGGATAATCTTGTAATTGAAACTCGTAGTCGATCAAGATCAAAAACACCAGGACTACTTTCAAATGAAAACGGAGATTCTAAAGGAGCAAAAAAAATCCCTACAGTGAGTCTTATTGAGGAAGAGGAAGATGTCATTGGAGTCTCTTCGCAGCCTTCACAAAGGCCAAAACGTCAGCGTCGAAGCGCGAAGAATGCTACATCAGACACTTCCGGCGATACTCAGCTAGAAACAGTAGTCAGCAATAGCAAGCAGTCAAAGAGTACAGTAACAGCAACTACAACAACAACAATAATACAGACATCTAAACAGACAACAAATGGAACTCAAGAGAAAAGTGAAGAATCGACATCGGTAAAGACCATAACACATACCGCATCTAATAATGATGCAACTGAATTTCCAGAAAGTCAAAGTATATTCAATAATATATTTAATGCTATAAAAACAAGTACGCCAATTTTATCTACCAAACGTACAAAGAGAACTACTCTCGAAAGTAGCTCCTCAACTGGAAATGTTGATTTCAATCTCCATCCTGCTTACAAAGAATATAAAGAGGCTGGCGAGTATTGGAACAAATTTCCGAAAACTGATTATACTTATTCGGAATTGTCACCACATCGACGAGAGTTGGGTGCTGGAATTGTTGCCATGCCAAATATGTCTCGAAAATCACTTGACAAATATCAAAATCGTATCGAAGCTATGATTCAGCAAAATCCTACCGAAGAAAGTTTCATTCGACGTAAATTTCTTAGCAATATGTCATATCAAAAAAAGGCAGCAGATTTGCAATATGATTCTGCTGACGAAGTTGACGTTTCTGACTTGTACAAAAACTTGTCAGCAAGACGTAATTCGGAAAAGAATGTTTTCTCCAGATTTATCATGTTTGTTATTGGAGTCTTTTCATCTTCATACTCAAATTTAAAGCGAAAAGTTTCTTATGGATCCAAGCAACACATCTCTTATACACCTATTAAAAGACATCATCAGCAAGGTAGGCATATCTAATTACCTGAATATCAACATAAATATATTCTTATCATTAAATTTTAATTCATCGTTGTTTGTATTAGGATTTTGGCGAGGAATTTACAACTTTGCTCAAAGCTTTGTTTTGTTATGCATCAGCAAAGTTTATCTGTTCATCTCAACAGTTTTGTGTTTGGACACATGGCTTCTTTATACACGCTCTGAAAATGTTCACCAAAATCAAAAGCGTAAACGATTTTTGATCGGATTGTTAGTTCTTCTTCCATTGATGCTGTTTGGTGGTAAGTGATTATTATTTACTTTATCAAGTTAATCGAATTGAAAAAGAAAAAAAATTGGAACTTGTAACATGACAAATATTATTTCTTGTTTTATTTACAGGAACTTACATTTACCTTGATCCTCCACAAAACATTTCTTTTTCTCAAATATCCCTCCCTAAAATGTCCCTTCCAAAAATCGCATTTCCATCTATTACAATACCAAAAATTTCATTTGATTTCATCAAATGGCCAGAATTTTCACTTCCTTCTTTGCCTGAATGGTTCAAATTTCCGAAAATTGCAATGCCAACAATTTCTTTTCCATCTATCTCATTACCGCAAATATCATTTGATTTCATTAAATTTTCCTGGCCTGAATTTTCTTTGCCATTGTGGCTTAAATTTCCAGAATTTACATTTTCGTTACCTTCTTGGTTCCGTCTGCCTAGCTTTTCATTCAATTTACCTGATTTTTCATTCAACTGGCCAGAACTTTCGTTTGAATGGCTTAAAATGCCAGAAATTTCATTTACTCTTCCAGCATGGTTCAAATTACCCGAATTTAATTTCTCAATGCCATCAATTTCTTTCGACTTTTTAAATTCAATCATTAGCTATACGGCTGATGTTTTTGGATCAGCAAAGTCGACATCAATTGAGTTTTTAGACAAAATTCGAAGTGTAACAATTGGCCTTTTGAATGAATTCCAAATTGTTTGGAATGAAAATTTCAATATTAAGTAGATTGTTAGAAGAAATTCATTGAAAAATATGTTTTGATGTCATAAGTTCGCATCAAACAAGAAAAAAAAATATTTAAAATTTGTTATCAGGCAAGATTTAACTTTCAAAGTATAGTTTTATTGATTTTCACTAAGAACAATATAATTTTTTGTAAGGTAAAAATAATTAATTAAAGATTAGCACTAATTTGTAGGTGTAATTTTGAGATAGATGGAAAATCGTTCAAAAACATGCGTAAATCTCATAGAAAATAAATTTCAAAGCACATAAAAGATATGATTTTACTGATTAAGAAAATGTTTTAATTAAAAAAAAAATTCACAATTCCTAAAAAATCCCACCACAAAATTGCCATATCATCACCGATACTAACCATACATATTTGCATCATGAACAATAACATAAAAAAAACATTTATACCAAAATCATAAGAAAAGCATCATAGAAGAAGGATAGAAAAATTATGTGGGCTTGACTAAACTCATCAATTGAATCAATTACTTTTTTTTGTAACAACAAAGAATTTTGTTCATTCTTTATCATTTATCTAGCAGTCCTATATATGTGTTTAAGATGTAAAACAAAACAAAAAAAATATTAAAGAAAGATTTTTATAGGATACTTTTTTTTTTGTTTTATATGATCAAAAAATTTTAAATAAAACTTAAGAAAATTATACAAAAAAATGCTAACTGTTGATTATGATTTATCAGACCCAAAAGTTTGCTTTAAAATAAATAACATAAAAAGGTGAGTGGAAATTTTAAGAATCTAATTGCTGCATATTTCATTCGTTTTCTCTATTTTTATTATTATCATTATTGAACTTCTATCCTTCTTCATTGAAGCTCTTTCATCCGCAAAAAAAAAAATATCAGCAGTAATAAGCACTATGAAAAATAATCTTCTTTTCTGCTTCTTGCTCATTTATTATTTTCATTTTAATTAATTTGAAGTTCTTTTTTTTTGAAGAAGGATGTGAAGTTCCAATTTTTATTTTTATGTTCATAACTCAAGTTATTGAGGTCTTTTAATATGATTTCAGCATTTCTTCTGTCTGAGGATAACAATTTCATTGCCAGAAAGAATTATCAACTTGAACGATTTAACTATAAATTAAATTATGTAACTCAATACTTTTCTGATGTATCTCTACCATCAATACCTCATTTCAATTTTGGATGGATATTATCTCCATTATTCTACACTCGAGCATTATTTCGAGGGTTCATTATGGATTCGACGACGAAACAACCAGAATTAAAATTGGACGAAGAAAGATTAAACATTATTTTAAAGCATATTAATGATTATGTTGACAATACAATTCAGGAAAAGCTAAAATTAAATAATGATATTTTAATCAATAAAGTCAATGAACGATTAGTGATTACAATAGCTAATCACTTAAATGATGCCTTAAAGAAATATGAATATCATCTTACAGCCAAAGATGTTGAAATAATCGTGAACCAAATAAAAGTGCAATTAAATAATGATTTAAATGAAAAAGAGAAGAGCATATTGGCAAAGATATCTCTAAATAATCAAGAAAATGTTGAGAAAATTAAATCCATCGCTAGTTTAAGCATGAGTCAGCAAAAAAATACACAAAATATTGATCTTGATAAGATTATCACAATGATTTTGGAGTCAAAAAAACTGCCAATACTTATTGATGATCGTATTAAGATCATCCATAATTCAGATGTCGAAAAAATTAAATTGGAAATTATTGGGAAATTTGCTGTCTATGACAATGAATTAAAAAGACTTAAAATTGGACAAACAAGTATTTCTGATGATTTGATTAGATTTAAAAGAGAAAATGATGACGGATTAAAAAGCATATTGATGAAAATTGATGACAAATTTACAACCTTCTCAGACTATTCATCTATAGACATGAGTGTAAGAAAAAGTCTTTTAAATATATTAGGACTAAAAAATCCTGAGATTGGTGATGAAACTTTACTGAAGGAATGGATTGAAAACACATTTGTTGCAAAAATTTACTTAGAACAGCATCTACAAAACTTGAACCTGAAACTGAATGAGGCTTTTTCGAAAGAGATCGATAAAAATGCGGGTATATTTATGGAAGATATCAATGAAAAGCTCAAAAGTCAAATTAAAATTCTTTTAGAACAGAAAAATGAGGAACATAAAAGTACAAATTTAAACATTCGTGGGGGAATTTTAACTGAAGATGATGTGATTAAAATTGTTAAAGATATATTGGCAGTCTACGATGCAGATAAAACTGGTCTCGTTGATTATGGACTTGAATCAGCGGGAGGAGAAATAATTTCAACAAGATGTACAGAAAATTATCGAACTAAGAGTGCTGAAATTTCAATTTTTGGAATTCCGATTTGGTATCCAAGAAACACACCAAGAACAGTTATATCACCTACAATTGCTCCTGGTGAATGTTGGGCTTTTCAAGGTTTTCCAGGCTTCCTCGTAATCAAACTCAGTAATCTCATAAAAGTAACGGGATTTACTGTTGAGCATATACCACAGTCAAATGCTCCAAACAATGTTATTGATTCTGCACCTAATAACTTTTCTGTTTGGGTAGGTCATAAATTATTTGGGTATCAAAAAAAAAATTATTTTGTTTCTTTCCATTATTTTTTCAGGGATTAACGAGTGAGTTCGATAAGAATCCAATTTTGTTTGGCAACTACTATTATTCAGCATCAAAAGATGCCCCAAGTCTTCAATACTTTCCCGTCCAAAACAAGGATATAGTTATAGCTCATCAATTTGTTGAGCTTGTGATTGAATCGAATCATGGAAATTCAAAATACACTTGTCTTTATAGGTTCCGAGTTCACGGAGAGATGTAATTGGAACAGTTCTTTTTATAAGAAATAGAAAACTTACAATCACATTCAAATATAGTCATTGAAATATTGTTAAATACTTTTGTCTTTTTAAGTAAACAATTTTGCGTCAATTTTTTTGCATTTTCAAACATTTATTTTACCTTTTGCATTATTGATAATGTCAGCTTTAAAGCCATAAGATTGCACGTAAAAGTGACCTAAACTTAAGAAAGAAACAGAGATGTTCATTTATATACCTACCTACAAAACGAAAGTAATTTTAAGTTCCTAGAATAAGTAAGCTATCTGAAAACAACGAGTAACGTACTACTCTCAACAAAATCAATTGTAAAGAAGATTTAAAGCTTTTATTTGCAGCTTTCAAAATGTAAATTTAAAAAGAAAAATTGGTGTGAATATGAAAAAAAAGTTATAAAGTTTAATTGGTATGACAAATTCAAAATTTATTATATGCATTGGCCTTAAGTAATTTATAAAAGAACCATTACTATTTACTTCCTCAAATTGATTAAATTTTTAATGTGACTTAAATTAAATTTAAAAATGTTGAATAAACTTAGAATAACCGTTCACTTATTACGTTCGCATTTTAGGGTGGAGGAGGGGTTTGAAAAATTGTAACAAAGGGGGGGGGGGGGGGGGGGGTGTCAAGAAGTATGTAACGTTCTAAATGTCGTCTGTCTTTTAAAAAAAAGTTCACGAAAAAAATTTGTTTACAAATTCACAACCAAAAACGTTTTTTTAAATTTTCCACCTTATTAATGATAAATTAAATTATGAACGTTCAAGTGGGGGGGGGGGGGGGGGGGGGTTGTGAGTTGTAACAAGGGGGGAGGGGAGGGGTGAAAAAGTCGTTTTTTGCGTAACGTAATAAATGAACGACCCCTTATTGGAACCTTTTTTTATATATATTATATATCATTGATCCAAAAATAAAGCATGCATATTTGACAACTATGACTTTAGGATGTAAATTTTCTGCTTCTTGCTCATTTAGTATTTTCATTTTATTTAATTTGAAGTTCTTTTTTTTTGAAGAAGGATGTGAAGTTCCAATTTTTATGTTCATAACATGATATAACTCAAGTTATTGAGGTCTTTTAATATGATTTCAGCATTTCTTCTGTCTGAGGATAACAATTTCATTGCCAGAAAGAATTATCGACTTGAATGATTTATTAAAGATATATTGGCAGTCTACGATGCAGATAAAACTGGTCTCGTTGATTATGGACTTGAACGAGCGGTTCCGATCCGACCAAATTCCGATTTGGTATCCAAGAAACACACCAAGAACAGTTATATCACCTACAATTTCTCCTGGTGAATGTTGGGCTTTTCAAGGTTTTCCAGGCTTCCTCGTAATCAAACTCAGTAATCTCATAAAAGTAACGGGATTTACTGTTGAGCATATACCACAGTCAAATGCTCCAAACAATGTTATTGATTCTGCACCTAAAAACTTTTCAGTTTGGGGAGGTCATAAATTATTTGGGTATCAAAAAAAAATTATTTTGTTTCCTTCCATTATTTTTTCAGGGATTAACGAGTGAGTTCGATAAGAATCCCTTGCATGACAAAGTGGTGCATGTCAATTAAAAGTTTTTTATTATAACTATGCTATTTAACTTAATAAATTTCAAATTATTATCCAAGAAGATCATCAATACCATTGAGTTGCTTATATGTATAAACTAAGTGGAAGTTTGTGCTGTACATCGCAAAAACTGTCTTTAAACTTTTGTGCTCATAAAACCTACAAACCTCAAAAAATTCATGTCTTGGAATGCCTGAATCTCCAACAAGAGAAAGCATACAATCTCCGAATCCAATATCAAATCAAACACCAAAGTCGAGTGCCAAAAAGCACTATCTATTAACACCAACCAGTGATAAGGATCTTAAGAATTTCATGGACGAAATGAGAGGTCAAATGAAATCAATGAGTCAGCGTATGGATGAATGGAACAGGAACTTTGACTGCAAAATTGACTAATTAATAGCTGATGTAAATCTAGTGAAGAAAGAACTTGAAGATGTGATAGGTAAAGTAATTAATCTCGAAGTTGATAATCTCGAAATTCACAAAAAGATGCAAAGCCATGATAGTCAAATAAATGCCATTAATCAAATTTTACTTGAGAAACAAATTATCATGGTCAACATAGCAACAACTATAAATGAAGGCAAATTTCTAGAAGACATGAATAAATGGAGTAATAACATACTAAAAGATACCCTTATGAGTCATAATTTTTCATCTAATGAGAAATACAAGTACAAATCTGCTCATTTACGCTTCAATACATCGAATGATAAAAAGAAGTTCCTCAGTTTCCTCAAAACAAAGCAAAAAGATGCAAACAATAAATACATCCCCGTCCTAAACGAAAACATATTCACCCTTAAAGACTCCGATGTCAACGTAGCTAAGGCTATTGAAGGAATAAAAAAATTATTTAAGTTAAAATCTTAATTTTACTCACATTTTTGTTGGCGTAAATTCTGCGTTGAAATACGATTCCTGGTAGACATGGCGGTGCGGAAATTGAAGCTGGTGATTCGTAAATGACTGTCTAGTCAGATGATGTGAGAATTTCTGTTTCGAAAACTTCAAAGGTTGTAGTTATTGGTTTAATTGCTATGTGATGGATTTTTGTTAAAATTTGGGCAAATAAGACTTAATCTATAGCTTACTTCCAGCTGCTTATTTTGTTCAAGTCATGAAATTGGTTTATATCCAGCCTCTTCTTCATGAACTTGATAGTATGGCTCAATCTAATAGGCTTGGGTTGCTTTTGTCACCCAATTAAGATCAGAAACCTTTTTGCTGCATTTCCTCTCCAAAATGTAAGTTTTCCAAGTCCCGAAAAAAAATTTGTACAGGACGATGGGGCGATTCCTAATTTATAAGTTGTAAAAATCCAAAAAAAGGAATAAAAAAAATTATTTAAGTTAAAATAAAATAAATAAAAGAAGAAAATATAAAAGTGAGATGGAGTATTCTCAAGATTACAGAAGGATCATAGTGGTGTTGCATTTTCATAGAGAATTAAAGTAGCAATTACTTACTTTGAGCTTGATTCCTTGTTCCCACATGAGTGTGCTTTCTAAAATGTTTCACTATCCTTTCAAAATGTTTTCCATACTTCAATTTCAATGAAGGTCCAGGAAAGATCCTTTTAGCCTTGAAGTTTTATTTGCAAAACCATATTGTACTAGTGGTGAATTAATTGGAAGACGAACTTGATTTGATTCTTGCAAAAATATCGTGTTGAGCAGTCATTTGATAAGTTTCGTTAAGTTAAATAAGCACAATAAGTGATGACGATTAATTTCAGCTACCGACGATGAGTGGCAAATAATAAATGATGTTCGGCTTCAACAGCTTCTGTAAAGTCATATTATTAAATTCAGTATTATTTTCACATACCTCTTTATCTTCTCGTGCCATTTGAGTTTCTCTTATCTGGTTCTTCATTTCTATGGACCTAATTCTAGATTTGTGTGTTACTTGCTCTAGATGTTTGCTTTACGATAGAAACTGGCTGTAATTCGATCATGTCTACGTCTTGCTGGACTTATTTCAACTTTCGATGTGACGAGAACCGCCTAAATTTCAGAGAAAAGAAAGAAAGAAAGAAAGAAAAAAAGAAAGAATGGATTACTTAATCTGATAAAAATAAAAAAAAAATAATAATTTTCTGCTCAGTCTGTTGGAGAAATGTCGCTGAATCCAATCTATTGGAAGCTATTTTATCATTGGTTTGCAATCTTCATCTTCAACTGATTGGCATTAGGATGTCTTCATCCTCATCTTCTAAGCAATTCTTCTGAGCAATTCTTTTGCCGGTAATTTCTTGACTAAAATCAATGTTGTCTATATCCTCTTATTCCTGAAAAAGTAAAAATACGCGTAAGAAGCAGCTAAGAAAATGTCCTAAATGTCTAATATTTCTAGATCCAATAATAAGAAGTGATAAGTCTAGCGCAGAATTTCGTACAAAAATAATCATAATAATTATGTAAGGGATAAGGGGGCTTAAAATCATGAAGGGTTTTACTTTCATGATTTAGTTGAATGATTTTGGATGTTGGATTGGTTTGAAACTACGAACCTTGAAAATTGAACTGCATGACAGCTGTGCAGCAATTTATAACATTCTTGATCACCTAAATGTTTGACTCGTTTCCTTTCATAAAATTGAGGTTGCTCAGCAGCAGTTGGTGACGAAGTTTTGGTCCACAGTTGACTGTCTTGACTGTGTATCATGCAACATACGACGAACTTGCAAATTTTAACATTGTTTCTTGCAAACTGAAGTATTTGGCGGTAAAAAATTTGATTTTTTGCAAGTCTTTCCCATTTTCATTTTTATTCTTCTTGGATTCCTGTTGCATGGATGTTTTTTTTCTCATGCTGTGATGATTCCTTAATTGTTTTGTCACAAAATTTCAGAATCATCGGCTTTGATTGATTGATTGACCTTACTGCAATCATTGAAGAAGAAGAAGAATTTAAAACATGCCTTAATGCATATGATACGAGTAATTATATTTTAAAGTATAAAAATAAAAATAACAGTTTGCAGCATTGGTGGAGACTGGACACATCATAGTTGTTTATGCACATCATGTTAAATGAGCAATTTAATGTTTTAAATTTATTTTATGATTGTTTAAAACAACGTTTAGGAAAGTCATATGCTGTGTAAAAGTGCAAGGCACAACATCAGAAATTGCCTTTAGAAAGGCGTAAAATTTACCTTCCCATCTACCATGCCTAGCCAAAATCAATACTTAGCCAAAAGAAATACATAGAAATGGACAATATATTTTGCCTTTACCTAGGCAGTGCCTATCGTAGTCATGTCTTTGATAATGGCAAATCCAAGATTAAATTCATGTAGGTTTTGCTCAGCTAAAGGCATGTCTAAGATAGGCAGTGCGTAAGCATAGGGAAAAAAATGTGGCCTATTTCTAGGTAAAGCCTTTGGCTAGTTATTGCATTTGACTAAGCACACAACGTGAAAGATCGAGTTTCGAGTCAATAAGAAAAGGCAAAATGTCACATGGTTGCTGCAACAGAGAGAATAAGGAAGCTAGTCGACTCTCATTTGGCCATTGAATAAAAAGATTCGAGGGAGTCGACGACTTTATCTACTTAGGATCCATTACAAGAAAGTATAACTTTGACGGTTCTACGGTCATTGAAGCAAGTAAATAAGAAAGTATGACTTACTATGAGCTTGATTACTTGATTCCATTTGCTTCCAAAAATGCTTCAAGATCCTTTAAAACATTGACTTTGTCCATCCTTTAATTCCAGGAAAGGTCTATTAGCTGATGCTGATATTTGTATAATGCAATAAAAGGAGCTTCATTTATT